TGCTTCAAACTCGTCTTTGTCTTCATAACTGTGGAGTAGGACTAGGAATGTCAGCATAAGTTTTTGAATGATATATAGTTAGGTACAGATTAACAATTGTTTTGAAGCTTAAGACTGTAACGACACAAAAGGTTATTTTATCAACGTGCTTGTGAAAACGTGTCTACGCTGTCATTCATGCAAAATCGTTCGAGATACGCTAACTAATTGAAGCAAATTACACGTCATATATATATACCTATTTTGTCGATCTTACGCTAGATCTTTTCAAGGAGTATCAACAATAGCTGTACAATATGTAATACATAATAATAATAATAATAATTAATATATATATATATAATATATATAAATAATATTAATATATATTATATATNNTTTTTTTGATAACGCCATCTTGTTGTGTCTTTAAAGCGGTTAGTTGCCCTCAATTAAGAAAAATAGTATTATTATTCGCCAATAGATGTCGGGAAGAGTTGATTATTGAAAACACGAATAAAACAACATTTTCTGAAAATAAATCGTAGCTAGATCGATTTATCGCCCCCGAAATCCCCTGTATACTAAATTTTATGAAAATCGTGGAAGCCGTTTCCGAGATTCAGATTATATTCATATATGTACATATATGTATTAATATACAAGAATTGCTCGTTTAAAGGTATAAGATAAGATTAGGAAAATCCAAAGTTTCGTAAGCTGTCGTCGTCCGTATGCGACCACAAAAACTACGAAATATCCGAAACGTAGAAAACAATATAATAACAACAAAAAACGTAAGATTAATTCGTAGAAGTTGAGTCAGTTAATATTAAAATCATTTATTATTCTCATATAGCTCTTCACAGGCGCTTTCAAATCCTAATGACCTCAGTACCTACCGATTCCAAAATTATAATTTGCGTAATTACTAGTGCTAGGACCTCTTGTGAGTCCGAGTAGGTACCACCACCCTACCTATTTCTGCCGTGAAGCAGAATGCGTTTCGCTTTGAAGGTTAGGGCAGCCGATGTAACTATACTGAGACCTTTGAACTTATATCTCAAGGTGTGTGGCGCATTTACGTTGTAGATGTCTATGGGCTCCGGTAACCACTTAACACCAGGTGGGCTGTGAGTTCGTCCATCCATCTAAGCAATAAAAAAAAAAACAAAAAAAACCTACTGATTCAAAATGGGATTTTACCACTTGTCTAGTCATCACCTTGAATTTTACTTTTGCAATTTACACTGGTAAACGAGTACGTGCTTATCTCACTCACACGCTTGCGACGTTTGTCATTTCATTTCCAATACCTGGAATCGTTCATCTGTAGTGCGTTTCAGAGATAATTTTTAGCATCTATCATCGAGCTCTATAATGAACTACAGAACTCGGTGTGCCCAGAATGGTATCGCTTCTGACTTCTCATCTGATGAGCGGTAGCTTTAACATCCAATGTAAGCTTCTCGGCGTCAATTGTAACTAGAAATAATAAATTGAGGCCTAATAATATTCATAATAAAGGCACATGCGGTGTGCAGGGCTGTCGTAATCACCTATTAAACGACTTTCCTATATCCTCGTCCTAACGTCCTATCTCCGCCCAAGACAGAACCCAGCAGAGGTAGGAAATGTGACCGTGGTCAATATTGATATCAGAAGTGCGACCCCTCTCGAGGACGCCTGGTTAAGGGAGTCGTCGGTAAGCAATGACCTTACGACGGCCATTTCGGTTGGTGGCCAGTCCGCCCAAGCGGTGACCGTGCACAGATGCTTCGGAAAGTATCTGCGCCGGATAGGAGCTGAGCCGACGACGAGGTGCCACCATTGTGGATACGACCTGGACACGGCGGAGCATACGCTCGCTATCTGCCCCGCTTGGAAGGTACAGCGCCGTGTCCTGGTCGCAAAGATAGGACCGGACTTGTCGCTGCCTGGCGATCTGGTGATTTACTCCTGTTTAAAAAAAAATGTCAACAAGGGGTCGGGTCGGACCCCCGACAGCGGGCCTTACAGCTAACACAGGCCTTAGCTTTTTCATTGCCTAATCTAAAACAGACCAGGGCCAAACAAATTTTAAGTAGTAGTCGAATCTCATAGAAACCATAACGTAATGCCACATGATAAAGGCCAAGTCTCTATAGTATATTTTAAAGGCTATCCCACTCTTCAAAACAGATCGCTTTACTGATTCACGGCAGAAATAGGCAGGGTGGTAGGATCTACCCCTGCACCTTCATAAGACTTCTTATAATCGGTAATATGTCAGGTGAGTTTCCTGGGAAGAGGATGAAACTTCGAAATTTTGAAAACTAAAAAATATTTTTTGAATTGCTTTTGCTGCTTGAACGAGTAGAACAACGTTTGTTATGTAGTTTAGTTTATTTCGTTTTTGTGGTTTATTAAGTATATATGTACCTATGTTGAATCATAACAGATCGATGTGAATCTGTTTCAGCAAGCATACTATCCTATCCACAATACTATATGGATTCACTAGCACTTAAGAAAATTGTCTTTTTTCTTTGTATTCACATCACAAAATCAGACTACGTGTGATTTTTGCAATATATCATTGTAGTATCAATCAAAATAACTACCTATGCAATGAAATAATTACAAAATCTATTCTCATTACCTCCCGTTTTTTCTTTACCGAGATTACCGAGCCACGTTGACCAAAAGTATAGATAAAATACATATCGTGCTTTTATTTTTTTATGCCGAGACTCAAATTTTAATTGTAAATTTTCGCGGTCACGTCTACAACATCTGAAGGTTATGTATATCAACACAATAACTAGCTTGTTTGGCAGTTTCACCTATTTTTTTTCGGGCAGGGGCTCATACGAGGTATCCGCGCCTAGTTGACGCACGGGTATGCTAGACTTGAGGGTCTGAAGATTTTGAAAGCAGACCGCAGGCCCAGGGATGTTTAAGGGCCCTACCCACCAAACGACTCCCTTTGGACCCTCTCACCTAGCATCCAATCTCCGCCCGGGGTCAGAACCCAGGAAGAGTAGGAGTTTCCCGCCGTCAACACTTAGCGTTTCACCTGCGTTCATTTCGTCTTAAATATTTCGAATAAGCTGAACATCCTTAGATTGGTTGCAAACTTAAGCTTTAAAACTTAAACATGATTATCGGTCCAGTAATTTCTTATATGTTTCTGAACGTATGCCAATAGGGTTGTCTCAAAAAAAAACCTTCGTGGTTTTTTTTTTTGTATTGCCCTTGTAGGCAGACGAGCATACGGCCCACCTGATGGTGAGTGGTTACCATTGCCCATGGACTTCAGCAATGCCAGGGGCAGAGCCAAGCCGCTGCCTACCGCTTAATACTCTCCACAAGCCTCGTTTGAAGAAGGACATGTCATAGCGCTCGGGAAACACCGTGGAGGGGAGCTCATTCCATAGCCGGATGGTACGTGGCAAAAAAAATACGAAAAGGTGTTCCGAAAACTCGCTCACCCATCTAGAGTACCTAAGTCTTCTCACCTAACATACGGTACAAAACAGAGGGAACCGAAGTCCCTCCGCAGACCCAGAGGTTCCAACCGATCCGTGAGAATATAATTGATTTAAAAAAAGACTGACTTGTTTACCAAGTCTAATGGAAAGTATACAAGGTATACAATATGTAGCAGTATGCAATATGCAGTGAGCAAATGTTTGAAGGTCGGTCTTACTACAGATCTTACATCATTAGTAGTATTATTCGAAATTATCCTTGGGAAAGGACTGTGGATGAGCCCAATTTGTGTGTCCAGGTAGTGAAAATGAACTCGGCTTTTGTAGTGTATGCTAAACATATATCGAATTTTAGTCTGAAAATCTATGGGTATCTACGCAATATTTTGGTGTTCTATGTATCTTCAATATAATAATAGTATGGGCCAACTCTGTAACTGTTTAATTAAAAAATATAAAAATAACAGTTATATTATGTATTGCTTTTATTGAATTAGGATTTTTACATATTTTGCCAATAAATGCAAATCAAACCGCAAAAAACATTGGACTTTATAATGACAGTTTTATGGACCATTTTCTATGGCAGGCAGTTTGGTAAAATTTCCTTCTTTTTAAAAGTCCTCGGTCATTATTTGTCTTTTATGTCGAAACCAATCTCTTGGTATCGTTTAAATATACAGTTAATACAAAGTTGTATATTTGAATTGATCTTTATCTATCTAATTTATTTCGTTTTAAAAATGTAACTGGAAATCAATGCTTCAAACTCGTCTTTGTCTTCATAACTGTGAAGTAGGGACTAGGAATGTCAGCATAAGTTTTTGAATGATATATAGTTAGGTACAGATTAACAATTGTTTTGAAGTTTAAGACTGTAACGATACAAAAGGTTATTTTATCATCGTGCTTGTGAAAACGTGTCTACGCTGTCATTCATGCAAAATCGTTTGAAATACGCTAACTAATTGAAGCAAATTACATGTCACATATATGTACATATTTCGTCGACGATCCTATGCTAGAACTTTTTGAATCGTTATATCTCAAAAACGGTGGCTCTTAGGAAAAAAAGTATTTAGACATTTTTTATAGTTAATATCTGATCTACAAATTTTGTCTGAGCTAATTTTATGATAAAACTTACCGTTTTGCTGAAAATCGCTGACATTTTTTTGCACGTGCCGGATCGATGAGGACTTTTCACATTTCGTTTTTATAATAGTGTATTGAACAATCCTACCAATGTTCAGCCAAGTCGGTATTTTTGTAACCTCACACCTATGTTTTTGATTTGACCGGACTACTAAGCCTGCTCCTAGTATTAGAGCTGAAGGTGTCTAATGCAAAGGTTATTGGATCTGATGGATCCGTAAGGCCGCGTCTAGAGCATCGACGGTGACTGGCTCCTGCATGATCAGGATTCGGGGAAATCCATAGAATACGAAAAATCATAAACAATATATACGTACATTCATTTTTTAAATATTTACGTGCATGGTGAGAAAATCGTTATAAAGTTGGCTCAGTTTTAATTGTTTGTTACAGGACGAATACGCCACGTCAAACCATGGAATATTACGACTTTCCATTTCCCGAGGGAACCCCGTCGTATCCATCGGCAACGTGCTTCCTCGATTACTTAAAATCATTTGTGAAGCATTTCGATTTACTCAGTCATATTCAAGTAAGTTGCTGGATCATTTTTTCTTAAGACGTTTATCTGAATTATCCTGAACTGACTTGCGAATGTACCTCTTGATTATAAACGGACTGGGATAATATTATAATATTAACCGTATAATAATTTTATTTAGTCTAGAACAGCATAGTTTACTGTGGACGTTTACTGTTTTATTCAAATATATTGAAAACTTTTTTGAATACATGTCATTCAAATGTTTACAGAGATATTTTTTTATTTTATTAAAATGGTACGTTTGGCATACTTAAAAAACTCTTCTACCGTCATTTTTAGATTAGTCCTTGAAACCAATTTACTATTATTTGTCAAATCAAGGATTTTTGCTTAAGAGCAAGAGTATGACGGTCCATCTGGCGTTGAATTATAGCGTAGCGTATATATCAAAAGGTGAATGCGGCGACCATCTGCCTTAAAACTTAAGGTTGAAATTTCAATTTTATTGTTACGGCTCCTACCTATTAGGTAGGTATGATTAATTACGCGTGCGGCAAGTTGGCAACTAGAAAAAAAAGTTCACTCTGACAAACAACAATTAATGAAAAGTAATTACCGGTAATTTTGCGAATTTGGTTCTCTTAATGAGATTTTATTTCTTCGTCTTTTAAGTTATTTTAGAGCATGTATTCAATATTATATTTAGAAAACTGTCTCCGAGAGGATTTTAGCCCCGCCACAGTTGCAACATACTACTCTGAGAAAATTACGTTTTTTATTTGAAGTCTTAATAGATTCTACATTGGTATGACATCGTGCGATAAAAAGGTTATAACAATGCATTGAAATGCACACAAAAGGAAACACACTTTGGAAAGCTAATAAGTCTGAAAAGTTAATTCTTAACACGTTTTGCTTTAGCTATAATAAATAAAGTGCATATTACGTTTGTCGTATTTTGAAAGAATGCGTGCTTTAACAATAAATGAAGTTTCTTTATGCGACATTTTAATATAATTATAGTAGAGATTCATCCGTTTTTTCTGTAAATACAATTAAGAGATTAATTAATTACATAGTTAATTTAAAGCATATTTAATTTAAATAGATAATTAATTATGATGAGAATCATAACTAGTTTATTGTAAATATAATTAATTATTAGAATATTATAACTAGTTTATTAATTAATTTGTAATTAGGTTTAACGATTCTTTTTTTTATGTAGATGGTTACCTGAGGGCTCCTCAGTATGTAATAGGTTACAGAAATTCACGCCGTAAGCGCTGCCCACCCCGGTCACCATCCTCGTCGAACCCGTCGCGTCGCTTGCGACGAATGGCTCGACGAGCGAATTAACCCACAGACACAGCCCACTGAGTTTCTCGCCGGATCTTTTCAGTGGGTCGCGTTTCCGATCCGGTGGTAGATTATAGTTTTGGCTATGTCTATGGGCTAGAGCGCAGGTCGAACTAAAAACGACGAATCCGACGGGTTCGAAGGGAGCGGTGTCTGGTGCTTGGAATGCCTAAAAGCAATAAGAGTGAATCGGGAGGATCCGAAATGACATGTTTTGGCCGATGGCAACTTTGCGTTGCCCCGTCACCTGGTCCAATAAGAGGATTATCGTGCCGCGCCGCTTTTAGTAATAGTAGCTTCCGACGCTTCTTTAAGATACTTACGTAACGGTTCTGAATTTAGGTCGTCGTGAAAACCGATATACCTCACGTACCACGGTGCTCAGATGGCTATCCCGCAAAAACGGGATTAGATGACCTGGAGAGAGTTAATGTGTGTACGGACCACGGAAGCGAACACTACACTTCCATAGGTCTTGAATTAAGTAATAACTTGCCTTAAACCCGCTACTAAGCCATATGAGGTCGTCTATTCAGCAAAACAAAAAAAACGAAGACTTTCAAGATTTATTCCCGCAGTGATCTAGAAATAAATCGTTACAATGCAAACAAAAAGGAACGTTTTTGTTGAGTTTTTTTTGCCTCTGTGATGTATGTCGTGATATGCTTCGACTTCTATCCTAATCAGGGTTACTGTGTTATGCTGAACTACTTACATAACAGGAATTTTCAATGTAATACCTATATTATTTTTCCTATATTTATTTATTGAATTTGATGCTTGATGTATTTAAAATCCTTCACAAGTAACTAAGTTCCCATATAAACTTACAACTAATTGACCCTTTTATAGATATATTTTTTTGTGACACTGATCTATATATCTACATTTATTTCTAACTAGAACCATGTAATATATATGAAATTTCGTACATCTTTCAAAATCTGGTCACCGTCCTCGTCGACCGAAGGTCTTGACGAGTGAATTAACCCATAGATACAGCCCACTGAGTTTCTCGCCGAATCTTCTCAGTGGGTCGCGTTTCCGATCCAGTGGTAGATTCTGCAAAGCACTGCTCTTGCTAGGGCCAGTGTTAGCAACACACCCGGTTTGAGCCCCGTAAGCTCACCTAGACGTCAAGGAGAAGCTGATATAGCCTCTCAAGGCTATCATCAGCATAGGTAGGGAAAAAAAAACATTTCAAAATATGTTTTATATCCACACAACATTTGTCGTTTCAATTCTTAAAAATTTACGCTTATAGCCTCGGTGGTTTGGGCTCTGCGTTGATCTGTTGAATCAGACAGTGCGTCAGTCAGAACGATTGATTATATTATATGGTACGTAATTGATAAAACATAAACAAAAACAATAATATTACAAACGACACAGTCACGACTTAATGTATTGTGTCGTTGTTATATGGCTTAAAGTATAAAAGCAACATTTATCGAAGAATCACGATTCATTAAGTATTTAAAATCAACCCATGACTTTTAAGGAAACCTGCTCATGGCTGTCGAGTAATATTACAAAAGATTCATCTTAATTTTCCGTTCAAGAGTTCTCATTGTCATTTATTTTTGTGGGTCGGCACCGAACTTTACCTTATGGGGAAAGCCCACACGCGTCTGATTACGACAATGATGGTTTAAAAGGTGCATAGTATAATTTATAATTAATGTAGTATGAAGAAGACAGCCATGGTTGCTTGTTACGTAACACCGTCGCTTCAATGCGGTAGGTGTATAGACAAACAATAATTATTGTATACGTAGTTGGTGGTGGATTTTTTTTCATTGTCAATGGTAAACGAATAACCAGTCATTATTGAGTCTGAGTTCAGTGACATATTTAGCGATTGTCCATTTGATAAGATTAAAATAATATAATTACGAATGGGTATTTCGAATATATTGAATTGAACTAATATTTTTCTAACACACATATCTGGGAGATTGGGCAGGAGACCTAACCAGGAGCCGATGTTAACTTATGAAACTTATGTTGACACGTGGAAGTTTTTTCTTATTCCGAAAATGCTTTGACTTTTCATAAAATAATAAACATAAAATTATAATTAAAGAACTTTAGTTCTGAAGTTCTTAAGCCTGAAGATGGGTGGCAGCAATCACGCTTATCTATTTATTTAACAGCAGATGAGTCGTAAGCTGTTCGGTCGTCTATGGAATAAAAAAAAAAGATGAAAAATTTAAATCACTAGATACTACTGGTGGTAGGACCTCTTATGAGTCCGTGCGGGTAGGTACTACCACCCTGCCTATTTCTATCGTGAAGCAGTAATGCGTTTCGGTTTGAAGGGCGAGGCAGCCGCTGTAACTATACTTGAGATCTTAGAACTTATATCTCAAGGTGGGTGTCGCAATTACGTTGTCTATGGGCTCCAGTAACCATTTAACACCAAGTGGGCTGTGAGCTCGTCCACCTAAGCAAGTTCTTCTAAGTTAGTCTAATGTTCAAGCTAAAAAATAATAATTAAATTATTCGAAACATCATTGAGAACTACTTACTCAAAATAAATTCATTAATGTCTCTGTAATTGTCCAGTTTTAGCATCGATATATTACCACATGAGTTTTAGTATCGATTATTTTTCAGTTGCGCAGCTTGGTCACATCAGTGAAGTGGGCGGGAAATCACTGGAACCTTACTTACACAAAGACGGACACCAAGGAAAATGTAACTGAGACGTGCGACTTCATTGTGGTAGCAAATGGCCCTTATAATACTCCTGTGTGGCCCAAGTACGACGGAATAGACACATTTGAAGGTAAGGTATTATATTCGAAGGTATTATATTATATAATATATTATAATATATATTATATAAGATATTATATTATATTCGAAGGTATTCGAAGGTAAAGTGTTAGTCAGTACAACACTAATTTCAATCGAAGTTTAAATGTCTTAATACGCTACATTAGCTATGAGCGTCGTTAAACAAACATGAGACGATATCAAAGTCTCAATTACATACAAGTGGGATAATCTACTCTCACGTACCTATTTCTGCCGCGAAGGATTAATGCGTTCCGATTTGAAGGGTGGGTCAGCCGCTGTATTATGGAGCTAAGAATTAATGTTGTTGATGTCTATGGGCTCTCATAGTTACTTAGCACTAGCTGGGCCGTGAAATCGTCTAAGCAATTAAACAAAATCATTAAACTGATACTTTATGTAAGTTTTCTCGTTCATTTTATTGTCTCAGATTTATTCGGATCTTTTTTTATTAAAAAGTACTTTTATAATATTATCAGCACAATCTTCTTGCGATTGAGGTTTATCAGTTCGAAACAAACGCATCGTAAAAAAATATACAAATGAGGAAACAAGTTGCACAAGTAATTCCATCCATTTATGGGCATCGTACGATTGCAAACTTCTACTACGAGTAACTTTGGTTGTGAAATACTGTTTAGCGTGTAGAGCCATAAAGTTTGAGAAGTAGAAAGAACACTTTTCTAATTACGTAGCGACCTGTTTATACGTATATATCTAATGGGGGGAAATTGGCATTTGCGACATAAAATTTGTATTAGTTATTAAGTCTAATCACAAGTCAATCCAGTTTCGTAGTCGTTTGAAAGGCAAAGCCAAGTTGGCGTCCAAAATGAGAGTTCTCAACAGAGGGAAGCAGTTCTTCACGCCTGGACAACGACTTATGCTTTATAAAGCACAAGTCCGGCCTCGTGTGAAGTACTGCTCCCACCTCTGGGCTGGGGCACCCAAATACCAGCTACTTCCATTTGACTCCATACAGAAGAGGACCGCTCGGATTGTCGATAATCCCATTATCACGGATCGCTTGGAGCCTCTGGGTCTGCGGAGGGACTTCGGTTAACTCTGCGTTTCGTTGCGTATGTTCCTTGCGGAGTGCTCTGAGGAATTGTTTGAGATGATCCATCATTTTGTTTCCACCATCGCACCGCCCGCCACTGGAGTAGAATTTATCCATACTACCTAGAGCCACTGCGTTCATCCACAGTGCGTTTCCAGAGATCTTTTTTGCCACGTACTATTTGACTTTGGAATAAGCTCCCCTCTACCTTGTTTCTCGAGGGCTACATTTTTTTTGTTGCCGTTCTCGTCTACCTAAAAATACTAACTCGTAAAATGAAATAGTTGTTGAACGTCTTTCTTTTTTTTTGTTACTTTTATATCTTAAATGTGCAAAAAATATGTGCTTATTTGTAGAACTTGTTCGTGTCTTGTTCTTAACACGTTCTTTTTTTTTTGAAATGTATTGGCAGTGCAGTGCATTCTGTGAGGTTATGCGGCTTAACGGCCGTCTGGTGTAGTGGTAAGTGACATGGTCACTACACAAGGGGGTCGCGGGTTCGAATCCCGCCAAGGGTAGATATTTGTATGATAAATGTAAATGTCTTTTCCAGGGTTATGGATGTATATTAAATATATGTATGTGTATAATAAAAATCTTACATTTATATCCGTTATCTGGTACCTGTAACACAAGTTCTTTACGAACTTATCACGGGACCAGTTAACGTGGCGTGATTGTTAGTAAATATTTATTATTATTATTATTATTATGCTTTTTTTTGATTGCGATAAACGCGAAGATTAGTCTTGCTAGACATGCTTTCGCCCTCCCCTCCGATTAAGAACGCATGACTGCTTCGCAATAGAAATATTTATGTACATATGTGAATATTATCGGTGGTAGAGCGTGTTGTACCAATGTTTTTTTTTTATTGCCCTTGTAGGCAGACGAGCATACGGCCCACCTGATGGTGAGTGGTTACCGACGCCCATGAACTTCAGCAATGCCAGGAGCAGAGCCAAGCCGCTGCCTACCGTTAAGTACTCTCCACAAGCTTCGTTTGAAGAAGGATATGTCATAGCACTCGGGAAACTCCGATTGTATGGTTGGAAACCATAATTTTGCCTATTTCCGGAGCCAAAAACGGGATCGATCAAAAATAACGAGAGTCAATACAAGTGTTTATGTTTCAATTCCGAATTTCAGGCAGCATGATCCACAGCCATGATTACAAAGATCGGAAGGCGTACAAAAACAGAAAGGTGCTTATAGTAGGAGCTGGAGCTTCAGGCTTGGATCTCGCGATACAGTTGTCCAACGTGACCGCCAAATTAGTTCACAGCCACCACTTGGTGTATAACGAACCGAAATTTTTCGATGGTTACGTGAAGAAACCAGACATAATGGCGTTTACTCCTAAAGGCGTTATTTTCCGGGACGAATCATTTGAGGAATTGGATGATGTAATTTTTTGCACAGGTAGAAGGATGTTTAATTTTAATATATAAGTTAATTTGCTCTATGTTTGTCCAAACAAGTATGAAATTGTCAATACAATTTGAGTGCCTATTAGGCTTCGGTAACTGCCTTAAACAAACGGCGGGCTGTTGTGAGATCATTTGAAAATTTGCTTTATCTTGCGTTGTAGGTTATGACTTCAACCACCCGTTTCTAGACGAGAGCTGCGGTGTTACCTCAACTGCGAAATTTGTACTGCCTCTCCATAAGCAACTTGTCAATATAAAACATCCCAGCATGGTATTTCTTGGAATCGCCAAGAAGATTATAACAAGAGTTATGGATGCTCAGGTAATTTGTAACGTGCTTACTAATTAAATGTTGACGGAATCTTACCGTAAACTTTGCCTGAAATGTTAATTAGATAAAGACTGTCTTGTGACGTCACTAGATAGTAAAATTCGTTTATCATCTGATTATGTGCACTTAATCTTATAAACAACACGCAAGCATGTAAATTTCACAAACTATTCAATAAAATTAGCTTTTAAACAACATAAATTTACAAATGTATATAAATAGATTATTTTTTGTTTAAGCTTTATATTTGTAGTATAATCAGACTACTACAAGTTTGAGGAATTGTTCAAAACAAATAACAATCATTCATTCTAAATAAATTCCTTTATAGATTTTGTGTATTTTCTTAATATAAATATTTAGGGCGTGTTCTCTTCATTTGTTTTAGGCTGAATACGCAGCACTACTAGCTTCGGGTAAATTGAAGCTTCCATCACAAGAGGAAATGCTGAATTCTTGGCTGAAACACATCTCTTCCCTGCAGGTTAAGGGCATGAAAATTATCGATCTAAACGTAGTCGGTTCGGAAATGGTAAGAGTCTAGTTATTTATCAAAGAAATAATGTGTATTATTAGCTTATTTATTGCTTATGCATCTTCCTTAGTTTATAGTTAACTATCATCATCAATTATCAGGTTTTAAATGATCGACTCGGTAAACAAAATTTTCAATTTGTTTGCCTTAATGTGATTATATAATGCGTTCATAGTATAGTTAGGAACACCAGTTTCATTCTTGAAGAAACAGGTTATTCTTAAAACTGGATCGTGTTGTTTACCGGCAAACTCGGAGTATTAGTGATGACATTTGGTTTGAGAATGACGGAATAGGTTGAGGCGTTGCTTAGTGACAGAAAGTACTATTTGAAATTGCCTATGTATATGCTTTTTTATTGCACTAGATGGGAAAGTGCTCGCCGTCTTCGTGGTTTTAAGTGATTATCGGAGCCCACGGAAATGCTACGCTAATGCTAATGCTGACATCCACATTGAGATGAGAACGAATTGTCAGTTTTATTGCATAATGTCTGCCCCACCACTTAAACCGGAACGTTCGACCATTTATTGATAGATTCTATATATTTATATTATAAAAAAACAGTTAGGATGGTGGTACCCAACCACGAGGGTTCGCAATGTGCGCCAACATCAGTAATTACGCAAATTTATAGATTTTATGAGTTTGTTTTTTATTACTCGATATTATTCTTTCATCTTCGTGAAATCGTCCGTGAACATTTCATTTCAATAATTGATACCTACCTGAGGGATTTGAGCACCGGTGCAATCGCATGGCTTTTTACCAGTACACAGGACGTCTTATCCTTTAGGTTACAATCGATTATTATCTGATTCTTATCACTAAATACTATAGACTGAATAATAAAAGAATAAGAACATTTATCCGGAATTAACTCAATAACGTCTGCTTGCTTAAGATAATTTTATACATTTTAAGGATCAATATTTCGGCAATTTAACTGAAGAAGCTGGTGTGGTGAGAGCGCCCCCGGTACTCACAGCGATCAGGGACTTCAACGGCGTCAACCGTTTGGATGACTTGCTCAACTACCGCGAATACGACTATAGCATTATTGATAATTTCCATTACGAAAGAAAATATAATCCAAGGCCGAACATACCTTGCCCTGTCGAAGTGTGATATTAACTTTTTAAGTACTCTAATTATCCAAGTAATTATAGTTAGCCGAAAATATTAGAAAGTTGCTTCAATAATGAGTTGGGAAATGAACGGAAAGGTTAGTACATTCTAAGTTTACAATTGACGCGTCAATTATTCTGGTTGTGCGAGTTTTTAAATATTAAAAAAATGACTTGTTTCCGATATTTACGTAATAATTTAAATCATTTGTTGGAAATGTGTATTTTGACATTCATTGTTAAAATTATAAATACAACGTAAAAAGCAATTAATTTGAATGAAATAAATTCAACGCTAAAATCCGCATTTCAACGCTTTGACAACTAAGTACTTAATTTTAAAATACAAATAAATTTTCGAACAAACAATTTTATTTCTTCTCAACGTTAGCATAGAGTTTAATTTTATTTTTGTAACCATATGAATGATTAAATTATACCGTTATCGTATGTAGCTGCCGATATCCAAGTAAATTAATTTCGTTCCGATAATTGCCACATTGTTACGTTGAGATATACTATTTGCGTATTAGAAGCGATCGTGATTTTCTTAAAATAATTCAAGAATTTATTTTGGCTAGTGGTCGCGGAGTAGTCGAAATTTGACTATAATTATTAATTTAAATTAAAAGTTTGAACATTATTATGGTTCTATTGTCATTACTTCTTTAATCACAGATTTCGCCAAGGCTACACTATAGATAAGTAATATTAAAGACAAACAATATTAATCTATTCTCAATTTAACTACAGACTTTAACAATAAACAAAAGAGTATACACATATGCGTGTGTGTGTGTCAAATACATGGTACTGTGTGAAATGTTTTTTTTTATTAACATAATGTATTGTTTACGCATAATAAAAAAAAAAATAGCATTCTGCACTCCTTTATATTCTCTATAAGTGTGGGAAATTTCATACTTCTCCGTCCGCGCAATTTTCATAAAAAGGAATACAAACTTTGTGCTTCACGTATTAATATAAAGATTTAGCTTAATGTAGATTTAGTATAATACTACATTTTAATAGTTGGTTCAATTATTATTGAGTAAATGTATAGACCTGGTACCCGTACATAAGAATTGGTCTAGTTTTATAGACTCGAATCTTAGGTGCAGAATAAGCGAATCTTAGCTTGTGCTTGCTTATACAAAATATATGTGGTGTATGTGCTATGTAAGAATCTGGTCTCCAAACTGTTCAGCAGAATTAAGTAGTCCTAAAAAGTTGAAATGAAAAACAAAACAGGTGTGGCAATCGGGGACTGCCGCGGTAATATATTGCATAGCATTTTTTATCAACTTATGTAATTATAATTAGACAATGATAATTTAATATTAAAATAATAATAAAATAAGACCACTTTATATTTATAAACATGAACAAAAGCAAAACATTAACTGTCCCCTTCAGACTCATAAGCTAGACCGCGCCAGAGAGAGATGGGCAGACTTTTCATGATGCGCATGCGTGCGACGTCACGGTGCGCACTTATTCACAAACACTACACAAGTGCAACGTGTGAATGTATTGAACGCGAGCTACATGGTAGGCGGAGTGGGGGTGTTAGGTTTTATTTTCGTTACGGAATTTCTTGATTCGGTCGCCGCGCTCAACGACGGCGCTAAAAGCTATGCAATAGCTTAAAACATATTGACTATGGTGTATAGGAAAGTTTTAATAGATTTGGATCTATGTGTTGATCATACCACACATTTCAGGAATACAAAATTATATTCAGGCATTTTAATTTCATAATAAACAGGAAAGTCATTTTTTTTGGATTACAACGCAAGCCATCTTCCTCTTCCTTGCGTCGATAATCCTTAAAGCCGAAGGTCGTGGTCTCTCTAAATAACTTTCTCCTGGATTATCCTGGGTCAACTGTGTCTTATCTTCTGCTGCGTAGATAGGCATCGTGATTTGAGGTGTTAAGAGTCGAATATGTCTGGTTCGACCATCGCAGTGGATTTCTGTTCAAGCGCATACAATTAATTCTAGAGCAATTCTTCCCTTGCCAGAAAGAGACGGAGCATTCCACTCGATTTCCATCACAAACGTTAAATGCTCTATGTTTGAGAACTTCTTATACTCCGATATTCTTACAAAACCGATCTCAATAATTTCTTATATTCATTATGGGTTTTAGTTTTTTATTAACTAAATACGGAAACTACAATTAAAACGCAGTTGATTCCAAGGAACATCATTTCGGTGCGTAAATGTATTTCTTATTTTAACATAATATATTAGAGAGACATCGAACACGAATGTTGTTTTAAGAAAACTAAATTATAATTTTAGGATGACATTTATTTTATTTACTTCAACGTTACCATTAATTATAGTTTTTGTTTACAACAAAATATTGTATAGTAATAAGTACAAATAAAATCAATTAATATTTTTCTGTGTTTAATTTTAATACCACCATAGAATAAATGTTGTTGATGTTATGATGGAAGCAAATAATGTTGATGAGAAGATACTGAACAAATTCATTATGTGTTATTTGTAACGTCATGGTTAAATACTAGGTTATACAGGCACATAACGCTGTGTTATATTTTTTTGCGTTTCTTAATCCTTAAGTAATTGAAATATTATTGCCTTTACTGAATTTCGAACTTAATGTAATAACAGTAAATTGAAATATTATATGTATTGTAAAAACTGTAATGAGTATTGTAAAACTCAGTTCTAGAGTTTTGTAATTGTTTTGTAATTTCTTCTTTCTCTAAATATTAAGTTAACAGAAACCTGTTATAAACTGTTTTGTATTTGATTTAGCAGAATACATTAATACATATTAGCTCCTACTCATTGACAGCCAGAGATAAGAATAAAAATCTCAGTGTGTTTTTTTGCTATAATAAATATAATTATAATAAAACGCAAGCAACAAAGAACCGGTTTTAATGGAGTTCTTTTTTTGTGATCTCAACGTTTCATATCACATTTTAGTATCACAATATAGATTTTAAATTTACCGTGTTTGTAAAGAAAGAACGTAAGCACGATATTAAAATCGTTTATAGAGTTTGAAAGGCCAATTTAAACGAAGAATAAATTGTAGTTGACGTAATTTACTAGGAGTATTCGTGATATTTGAATGAAATAAAATCAAATTTGTATTCATTCAGGTAAGGATAGCCCCAATATTTGTTTAAACAATATAGCGCACTAGCATTAGACATTATTAAAATTAAATTTTAAATGACGTTGTGCTAATTCCATTCGAACGTGTGTATTAAACTATTTCCATTTCTTTATTTTCTCGATGACAATTGTAATTTGATAGTTGTTATGTTGTGACCAAATAAGTAATGATATCGATCGCATATATTTATTACGTTTTGAACAAAGACAAATACTACAAAAAAATTAAAATAATTTTTTCAAGCTAAGAACACTCAATGGCCTACCGCCATTTTGTGTTTGTTTTAATCTGTCACTCGTAAGAAGACGGTCGTGCGATATAGTAACTACATTTCTGTTCGCTGAGTCTTTTCACATTATCCATACATTACGTTATATTTTGTGTTCCTCCGTGTTGATTGTGAGAAATTGTGAGAAGAACCCAAAATATTATAGCGTGGTATTGGGAAATTCATGTGGCATTTGATAATATAGAAGTGCAGGAACTTATAATAAATGTTGAGGAGAGAGTCATCGAGTGACAGTGACGATTCATCAGATTTTGATTAAAATAAATAAATAAAGAATCAACACAATACAATTACATCTTGTAATGAAATGTAATATTAGTACAAAATTATCCGGCAATAGTTTAGTTTCTTACACTTTGTAAAAAAATATCTGATGTGTTATCGTGTTACGTTTATCGATAGCTCCATCCCTATCAGTTTCTCCGACTCTGCTATGAGGCTATGTCCTTGTACATGCGTAAGCGTCATATTTTTATTAAATAATGTATATATAATGTAAAAAAGACGCTCATTCAAGTTTCCACAGGAGCTGTCATCAAAAAAATAAGGAAACGGAAGTAGTATAGAAGCGTAATGAATATTTATTTCGTGACGATAACTTTCGATTTATCACTAAATCACCAAAGTATCGTTGATCTGTTCTTTTTCCAGGGTCCTAACGAACGTGTTGTCGTCAATGACTTTGTACACGTAGTGCCTGTACGTGTACAGATTTTCAAGCTTGGCTTCAATGTCCATGGCGCGTATCTTGAACATGACCGGTGGAACTCTTTCTATTCCAGATTGCTCCGATAGTTCAGCGTAATATTCGTCCTGGAAATTGGCGTAACTATAGATATCTTTAAATAATAGCCCATGACAATCGACATGACTTCGTAGTTCAAATTTAATTTGTATATTCCAACAGTCGGTGTAGAGTAGTAGCCTTTAGCGGCGCCGCTTTTTATTTTGAAATCTAACTACGAGTAGGCTCGAGAAGCTATTCTGGCTTCGCCTTGGTTAATGCACGAGTTTACGGAGCCCAACCTGAGATTTGCTAACATCTGCCCTAGCAGAAGTAGTGCTTCATTGAATCTGCCAAACAGATCGAAGTCGCAACCCACTGAGAAGATTTAGTAAGAAACTCAACGGGCTTTGTCTATGGGCTGGTTCGCACGTTGAACCCAAACGACTAATTGGACGGGTTCAACGGGAACGGTGTCCGGTGCTTAGAATGTCTAAAAGCATCGACAGTGGTTTAGCAGGATCCGAAAGGACATGTAAAGGGCGACGACGGCTTTTTGCGATGCGCCGTCATCTGGTTTGGATATAATTCGAGGCAACCACGATAAGATCTTGTCGTGCCGCTTTATTGAAGAAGCGTTCTGACGCTCTCTTCAAGTCATGTCAAAGGCGACGACGGCTGTGCCTTGCCCCGTCGTATGGATGGAGAATATGATTTACAGACGAGAAACAGCACAGATACTACAGACCGATATATTACAATACAACTCTATCCCTGTAAATATGTATATTAATATTAAATAATAAACAAAAATCGAGCAGACATGATTTATGAATGAGATCTCTAGTCTAATCTACGTCAGTCGATTCATCACTATCTGAAGTTTATAAAAAAAAATGTAATGTATCTCATTAAAAACCTCCAACACCGTCAGTCTTAGATCCCCAAATTTTCACATAATAGACTTACTTCTTTTTCTGCAAGGGTGTGTATGTGAGACATTCTTAGTCCTTTAGATCGGATCGCATCAGCCCGTCTTTGCCATTCGTCCATCATTTCTGCTTCGCTCGGCAAAGTGAAGTTTCCTTTTATTAAGGCCGTTGCATACCGTGCCTGATTTCATAAATAAAATAAAGTGTTTCAAGTAGGTACTTTCTTGTACAGATTAACATAAATAGTATCAAATTTTTATGTGATACTAGCTGACCCGGCAGACTTCGTAGTGCCTCAATCGATAAATAAAAGACCTAAACTTTTTGTATAAAATAAACTTAAAACAAACAAAAGGAGTCTGTCCGACGGGGGACGCATCAAAGGCAAAACAAAATTGTTATTTTTATTTAATTCCGAGCATTTTAATATTTATCTACCTTTTAAACCTTCTTTGGACTTCCACAAATAATTCAATACCAAAATTAGCCAAATCGGTCCAGCCGTTCTCGAGGTTTAGCGAGACTAACGAACAGCAATTCATTTTTATATATATAATAATAATAATAATAAAGATCATTTATTGCCTTTCACATCATAAAATGAAATACAAAAAAAAAGAAAAGCAAAAAAAAGAGAAAAAGGCAAAAGGAGGTGGCTCAGCTATTGCTGTTCAAGGTTGATAACTTGAACAGCGCTGATTTTCAGATATAGAAGAAGAAGAAGAAGATAGAAGATATATAGATTACGAAAGTTCACCTGGGCGTCTAGAGCTACGACGAGACAAGCGCGAACAACTAAGCCCAAAATGACCATGCTCGGCTGACGGATGTTCACCATGTATTTGTACAGGGGGACCACGCTGTGCGGGTCTATATCTAGACCACAGGTCTTGTCTAGGAATGGATAGTCGTATTGAAAACCTGTGAATTAATACTGTGTTATACATTGTCTGCGGCAAATGCAGATGACGGTCGCAACTGAAGCAAGAAAAAATGGCAAAATTGACTGATTGTAGTAAAGTTTCGATACCATTAGTGCTATAATTTAGGGTACGTATAAGAAACACTTATAATATCGATGTCGTCGTGGCCTAAAGGATAAGACGCCCGGTATTCAGCGATGCAAATGTACCGGTGTTCGAATCCCGCAGGCAGGTAACAATTTTTCTAATGAAATACGTACTTACCTATTGTTCACGATTGAATTCCACGGTGAAGGAATAACATCGTGTAATAAAAATCAGACCCGCAAAATTATAATTTGCGTTATTATTGGTGGTAGAACTGGTATGAGTCCGCAGAGGTATGTAACATCTCCCTGTCCATTTCTGCCGTGAAGCAGCAATGCGTTTCGGTTTGAAGGGTTGGGTAGCCGTTGTAACTATACTAAGACCTTAGAACTCGTATCTCAAGGTGGGTGGCGGCGTTTACGTTGTAGATGTCTATGGGCTTCGGCAACCACTTAGCACCAGGTGGACCGTGAGCACGTCCGCTCATCAAGAAAAAAATACATTTTACGGTTAGCTCTTTCATCTCTTTTAACTGCAACCTACCAGTGCAGTAGATGACGTCATCGATTTCCTCATAAGTTCCATCCACAAAAATAACTCCAGTCTCATTGAATTCCTTTACGTCAGGCTTCCTCACGTAATGCGGTGGGAACGGTGTTCTGAAGTTCACTTTAGAATGGTGGCTGTGTAGGAGGCTCTTACTGCATTCAGCCACGTCAAGGCCTATGTCCATTCCTGATGGACCCGCCCCGACAACAAGCACCCTGCGATCTTTGTAAACGTCCGGTACACGGTAGTCGTGACTGTGGATTATTGTTCCTGAAAATTCCAGAGCAAAACATTATGTAGCAACTGAATTATCTTTAGTAGTATTTTTTTACTGGTGGTACCGTCTTCTGAGGTTGGGTAGTAATTACAATTCCACCAACGGTAAAACTCTTTCAGAATATATTCGAGATTAGAATTGTGGGAATCGGGAATTTCGGCCTTATGTCTCGAGATTGAAGGTCGCATTCTTATTAGGAAGTGAGTTTTAAGATTTAATGCAAAATACGAAAACTAAGAAAAATGGCGACGGAAATTTAAAAAATTACGTTGTATTTATGAAAGTCAAGGTTATCGTATAATATATAAGATACAGGGTGTTTTTACAACGGATACGATTTGTAGCTTGAAATTTATTCCAAGTTTTGTTTCCGTGTAATACTGAGCGTCTAGGTCGACATCGCCCTAAACAGGTTATTACGGATCCTCTCGATCCATTAACGGTGCTTTTAGGCACCTCAAGCAACGGTCACTGTCCTTGCCGAACCCGTCGCTTTTGACGAAGGGCTCGACGAGTAATTTAACCCATAGACACAGCCCACTGCGTTTCTCGCCGGATCTTCTTAGTGGGTCGCGTTTCCGATTCGGTGGTAGATCCGTGAGCTCACCTACACGTCAAGGAGAAGCTGAAATAGTCTCTCAAGGCTATCAGCATAGGTAGGTATTAAAAGTGTCTAGTGGAATTATAGATAATAAGAACTAAACAAAAATACCTTTGAACAGTTTCTCTCCCCGTATGTTAGGCATGTTCGGTGTACTAAAATGCCCGTTACCGACTATGACGTAGTCATAATTTTCTTCAAACACCTCCCCAGTGATGACGTGTTCGTGTGTCACTTTCCAAACGTTATGTTCTCGTCTCACCAAAGTAACATTGTGTCGGAACTGTAGTTAAAAAGGGAATTGTGTGCTTAGTGTGAGTTTTTTAACGTTCTCGATAGCGTAAAAGTTAACTCAAACTTATATGGAGTTGGCACAGTTGTACTGTTAAAAGTGAGACCTTAGAACTCATGTCATAAGGTAGCCACTCCGGCTCCGGTAATCACTTAACACCAAATGGGCTGTGAGTTCGTCCACTAATCTAAGCAATATATAAAAAAACAGCGCCCCTAGCGGTAAACGAAGAGAAGCTGTTCCAATTCCATACAAGTTTGAGTTAAGTTTTACGCTATCGAAAACGTTAAGAAACTCGGACTAAGCCAACTGATGATTTATTGCTTATATTTGTTTGGTTTTCGATATGGGGATTCATCGATAATAATCACCCCACAAGCTCGGGTTGTTGGATGGTACCTACAAATACTTAATTGGAAATAACTAAAACTGTTGTTTTCCACCTAAAGGTCCTGTTCGCATGCCGAGCAAAAAAGTGAAAAACGTGTCTATTTAGACTATTTTGTTTTCGCCATTGCAGGATAAAGAAAATAGTACCAATATCTATTGTAGTTTTGGTGGGGCCAATACATTATACTAATTTTAATGTACACCAACTATATACAAGTTTTCTTTCGGTACTAGATTTCCTTATTGCGATCAGATAGTGTTTATCAATTTTATCATAGTTTTAGATTTTTACTACGTAATAAATAGATACCTGTATATATTTTTCTATGTCAAAATGCTTAGCGTAATCTTTCAAGTAATCATAATAAATTTTCCAACTAGGAAACGATGGTATTCCATCTGGTAATGGGAAACCTCTTAATTCCATCGTTGGTTTTGGTAAATTCGTGCTGAAAAATAAAGAGCATTAAATTTATCAACTTTTTGTTTTTAATTGTTCGTGGAAAAAAAACGCAACTTTTGTTACAGTGCCATCTGTCGGCGAGCTTACGTAATAATATTTTTTTAATCAAGCAATAAATATTAAGGACATAAAGTGACAGCAGATGTCAGGGTAATCGTAAGTTTTTGACACCGTTCTTTTTATCACTAAAGATTGGAATATAATGACCAAATATTACAGAAAATAATAGACTGCGGTTTTTTTTTACAGCAAAATATAAATGATTGATTTAAAACATACATTAAACATACATTTATAACGAGATTCGTAAACGCCTTTGTAAGCAAACACAAAAATGAAGCACAACCCAAACATGTATGTAGGTAGGTACATATCACTTTTGATTTTATCATTTTAAACAATAAGTGTAACTGTTCAGATTAGATAACAAGTTACATATTGGAATCACTCAAATTGTTGAGTAGACAATTCACTTTAATTTGTTTGTATGCCAATGGTAGACAATTTTAGGTAATCGTTGAGAGATTAATCTCTTATTAAATTAATAATGTACACTAACTTAACAGGCTTCCCAAATCTTATATTTAAAAAAAATGACTCTAATTTCAAAATAAGTACTTAGTTGGAAGTCGTCGTGGCCTAACGGATAAGACGTCCGGTGCATTCGTGTTGAAGCGATGCACCGGTGTTCGAATCCCGCAGGCGGGTACTAATTTTTCTAATGAAATACGTACTCAACAAATGTTCACGATTGACTTCCACGATGAAGGAATAACATCGTGTAATAAAAATCAAACCCGCAAAATTATAATTTGCGTAATTACTGGTGGTAGGACCTCTTGTGAGTCCGCGCGGGTGGGTACCACCACCCTGCCTATTTCTGCCGTGAAGCAGTAATGCGTTTCGGTTTGAAGGGTGGGGCAGCCGTTGTAACTATACTTGAGATCTTAGAACTTGTATCTCAAGGTGGGTGGCGCATTTACGTAGTGGATGTCTATGGGCTCCGGTAACCACTTAACACCAGGTGGGCTGTGAGCTCGTCCACCCATCTAAGCAATAAAAAAAAAAGACTATTTTAATATTTCAAATCCTTACTGTAAATGCTTGTACATGCTGGTGTGCAATGGTAGACCATTTTCATCGGTACCAACTCTTGGATCGTAACGCCACGTACCACCAATATACTTCGTGGCTTCGAATACAACGAAGTCGATTCCTTCTTCCTTTAAATATCTTGCCGATGAGAGACCAGCTATGCCGGCTCCGATAACACAAACCCGTTTCTGTAAAATTGATTTTAGATTAACATGAATTAGAAACGGACGATAGGTCGTAAGTAGCTTTTTTTCCATACACAATCATTGGTCGCCTTAGGCGTTATTCCAGCTACGCCCGGTTTAGTGGGTGAGCCCACGGGGTTCAACCTGGAAGAGAGAGCCTAATACTAGCCCTAGCAAGAGCAGTGCTTGGCTGAATCTACCATCGTATAGGAATCGCACCCCACTGAGAAGATCGGGCGAGAAACTTATTGGGCTCATATGTAGCTTATGTAGGAGGCACCTACTGTATTATAGAAGCAAAACTTCTTTAGGTGCGTTGAGAGTAAAATTTAACTCGCGACAGATTCGTTACGGCTAGAGAGAAAAGATACAATTTAGGACGAGGGAAAGTGAGAAAATAGAAGAGAACGGCTCGAGAACCACTCAAACTTGGAGAAAAACCTTGGAGAAAAACCTTGGAGAAAGCGAGCTAGGCAGATTCTCTTAAACACATTCTGTTTACGGGCGTCGGCCACTAGATGTCTTGTTATTAGTTTCTCATTGCTCCTATAAATAACAGTAACATATTAACTATCTTATATTTTATTTTTAATGAAGGATTAAAAAAAAAGGTATTTTTCTTTAAATAATTTAAAATATATTATATATAAACGATGAAGACGTCGTTTCTCTTAAACACAGCATTCGTTTGTACCAATAAAAAGGAATGTATGGACTAAGATAGCTGACAATGTTTAACAAGTATTGAGTTATTACGTTTTTCTGTTTAGCTCACTACTTAAACGCTTTAGATAACGTCAAACGTTTGTTAAACGTCAAATGTCAGAACGAGACATTTTCAATAATGTTCTTTATCTCTAATGAATAATCCTTCATTGTTATCTGCTATTCGGTTTCATTGATTCATTAAGATTTTTATAGAAACACACAATTTTAATTTTTTTAAATCTATCTATGGCTGTAATTGTAATGTATTTAGATATTAGTATGTATTTTAGTACATGCATAGCTTAGACTTTTTACAAATATGAATTAAATACGCAATTTTTAGTTCGCAATGTTACGTACTTTGTTTAGGATTATTTTTACTATTTAAATATATTTATATTTTATATCAAATATCGTTACCTTCTTTTGTTTGGTACATACCAGGCACACTCACCATTTTCGTCAATATAAATTAATAATCAAGTGTATTCAAAGTGCACACGGCAAATACCTAAGTTTTAATTGTTACACATTTTTAGATAATTAACGCACTGATTACATTTACCGATTCATTAAAACAAATGACAAGTCACTCCGATAGCGCTGCTTCATAACAACTATCAAGTCTTAGTATCAAGCGAGAAGCAAGAATTCAAGATCAACAACCGCGATTGATCCGTAACGAAAGGTCGTACGAGCCATGTCAATTTTGACGTTATCACACAAAGTAAAGCGCAGTTTTACATAAGTGTACGGAATGAATGTTTGCGAATCCATTGCATTGATAGTTGATGTAATAAAGTTTTTAATAAATAAATAAAAACTCAATAATTGAGAATCGATACCCATCTCGGCCATCTCATACATATTTGCATTGTGCGGTAGGTATAATCGATATTTCTGTTTTTATTACAACGATCAATATGTTTTTTTTTTTTTATTGCTTTGATGGGTGGACGAGCTCATAGCCCACCTGGTGTTGAGTGGTTACTGGAACCCATAGACATCTACAACGTAAATGCGCCACTCACCTTGAGAAATAAGTTGTAAGGTCACAGTATAGTTACAGCGGCTGCCCCACCCTTCAAATCGAAACGCATTACTGCTTCACGGCAGAAATAGGCAGGGCGGTGGTACCTACCCGCGCGGACTCACAACAGGTCCACCAGTAATTACGCAAATTATAATTTATTGTATTCTCTATTAGAGAATATTCGGATTCTATCTGAATATACGTCAAGAGAACAACTCTTCGAGTAAATGTTTCGGATTATCTATTGTAAATACGCTGTTTGGTTATTGAAGATTTCAAGATACACATGCACTCCTATAGTACCTTCGTAGTTTTCGTATCAACATTTGGCACGTGTTGGGTCTTGCTTATGTCTGACGTCATATCAATGCTATCGAGACTTCGACTTCGTATTTCCAGGTGTAACGCGGTATTTTTAGTGTCTAGGGTTGCCCGGTACCATGTAGCAGTGATTCTGAACTTTTTTTTTTTGTTGCGGCACATATTTAATGATTTCAAAATTTGGCGGCACACAAAGAAAAAGATAAAAATTATTTACTTACTACCGAATCACATATATTTGCCAATTTTAACGAAAGAAAAGGTGCAGTAACTACTATGCAACACCTTGTGAATCCCAACTATCACTAAAACAACACGTTTTGTACGCAGAGGTGGCAAGTGTGCGCCGACTTGAGACATATTCCTATTGCTATGCACGCCGCTTCATCATAATTTGGCACTAAGAAAAACCGCGTTGCAAAGCAAATAATAAAATATATTTTTTTTTTGTGGTTTTAAATATATATTCATGTTAAAAATATTTTTCTTTTTAAATGATATAATTTAATAATATTAACATTATTATATATTTGCAAAATTTGGCGGCACACTTTTGAAGTTTGGCGGCACACAAAAGTGCCGCGGAACAGTGGTTGAGAATCACTGCCATATAGCATCAAAATACAGAACTCGTGAAAATTTTTATGTNTTTTTTTTTTGTGGTTTTAAATATATATTCATGTTAAAAATATTTTTCTTTTTAAATGATATAATTTAATAATATTAACATTATTATATATTTGCAAAATTTGGCGGCACACTTTTGAAGTTTGGCGGCACACAAAAGTGCCGCGGAACAGTGGTTGAGAATCACTGCCATATAGCATCAAAATACAGAACTCGTGAAAATTTTTATGTTTGGTATTTCGGAAATTAAAGAATAGATTTTAAATTTATACACCTGTCCCATCCCTGAAACACACGTGTACAGAGCATGAAAGAGACAAATGCAGCTGGTACCGAAAACACCTATGTAAAGCTCAAATCATCGATTCGCAGTCCGCTGTTTCTTCTTCGAACACTGATCGGATTTACAATTTTCAAAAAAATAAATTTATTGGAACGAAGTTCCTTGCGGCAGGCTTGGAGGAGATAGGGATTTTGCTGCGCGACCGAACTGAAAAAAATGTGATAGTAAAAACCGTAAGAAAAAGTCCGTGGAATAAAGGCTTGTTTTCCGCACAGCGATATTTAACCGCGCGATTTTTTTCTCGTAATTCTTTTTTTTTTATGTAACTTCGTTCCTATCCGATGTCCCACGACACCACACATCTTTTATTTATTTTTATTGCTTAGGTATGTGGACGAGCTCACGCCCCACCTGGTGTTGAAGTGGTTACCGGAGCTTAAATACATCAACAACGTAAATTCCGCCACCTACCTTGAGATAATATGAGTGCTAAGGTCTCAGTTTTTACAGTACAGAGGTTGCCCCCCCTTCAAACCGAAACGTATTACTGCTTCATGCCAAAAATAGGCAGGGTGGTGGTGCCTACCCGTGCTGTCTTACGTCCGACCACCAGTAATTCAGATAATACTGGCTATGTTTCGCTTATATTTTATTTTGCACGAATAATAAAGTGCACACATACAATTTTATTATCACTTATTAATACGTGAAGCAAAAACTTTATATCCCTTTTTACGAAAATTGCGCGGACGGAGGACTATGAAATTTTCCACACTTATAGAGAATATAGAGAAGAAGTCACAATGCTATTATTTTTTTAAAATAATGCATAAAATATACATTAAATCAATAAAGAAAACATCACACTACATACCATGTATTTGACGCACACACGCATGCATACTATTTATTGTCAAACTTTTGTTCTTGACGTCTGTTGTCATATATTATAATAGAATAGATTAAATATTGTGTCTTTGTTAATATTTTTTATAGTGTAGTCTTGGCGAAATTTGTGATTATAGAAGTATAAAATACAATCATAATAGTGTACAAACTTACAATTCCAATTAATTATAGTCGAATTTCGACTACTGCGGGACCTCTAGTTATTATTAATTAATGCGGTCCGCGCGTTGCTGGAATAGTCTCTTGGGCTACCGATGATTAGGTAGGGAAAAAAAGAATTAATGTAATAAAAACAAAATATCGAGATACAACAGTTGCATCTGTGAATCGTATGGTATCTGATTTGATTTTACTGCCTAGGGAAGAAACATGAGAATCCAATATGGTCTAATATATGTAGTAAGTCCTTTATCTCACTTTTTCAATTTATCTCTCATTGAGAAGTATAATTTTCCTCGATATTAGTAATCAGATTTAAATGTATGTGCGCTACTAAGTACTTACAACTATTATTTACATGTACAACATATAAGATGTTGAACTAACTATGAAAATAAGGTATGTTGAAAATACCTTAAAGTTATATTTTCATGCCGTCATACGTATTTGAGTAAGAATTACGATTGAAATAGTAAATTTGAAATGAAGCATCTGTAGCAAGTATGTGTTTTCGACATACATATAGGTATATTTTGTTTATTTAAAAAAAACATAAATATGACAGTTGTATAGCACTAGCTGGCAAAAATTGAAGCGTCTGCCCTAGTTTTTTATTCCTACCTATGCTGATAGCCTTGATCAGCCTATATCAGCGTTACCCTAGCGTGTAGGTGAGCTCACGGTGCTCAAACCGGGAGTGTTGCTAACACTGGTCCTAGCAAGAGCAGTGCTTCGCAGAATCTACCACCGGATCGGAAACGCGACCCACTGCGAAGATCCGGCGAGAAACTCAGTGGACTCTGTCCTAGTAGCATCATCCCGTCTCATCATGTGCGTTCTGTAAGACCTCAAAGGAATTCACCAGAAAACGGGCAGCGAAGTGCTCTGAGTATTAGGGTACTAGTATTCCTAACCAAAATCTAGTGGTGATAAGGCGTATTCGAAGCCAGCACGGATTTTTCCACCGTCCTACCTTATTTCCCGAAACACAAATTCTCGTATGAAGGGTGGGACAGCCGTTTTATAAAAAAAAAAAAGGAGAATTTGACATCATATTATCTTAAGGTAGGTCGTGGAATTTAACTATATTGTGATTTCCTGTTAAAAAAACTGATAATAATTTCTTGTCTCTTATCCAGATTATGTTTTATTTCTAATATTTTTGTTCCGTAACCCTTATATGAAATTAAAGAATTGAAGTCATTGATGTAATAGGGTTTTAGTGTAATGAATATATTTATTTTGTCCACAAATGGAAATCAAAAGTTTTTTTTTCCTTTTTTTATTGCTTAGATAAGTGGACGAGCTCACAGCCCACCTGGTGTTAAGTGGTTACTGGAGCCCATAGACATCTACAACGTAAATGCGCCACCCATTTTGAGATATAAGCTCTAAGGTCTCAATTATAGTTACAACGGCTGCCCCACCCTTCAAACCGAAACGCATTACTGCTTCACGGCAGAAATAGGCAGGGTGGTGGTACCTACCCGTGCGGACTCACGAGAGGTCTTACCACCAGTAAAGTCTAATGGAGTTGATGTTTGAGCAAAAAAAAAACGGCACCAAATCCTGTAAGTTTTGCAAACTCTTAATAGCTGTCAATAGTAATTAGAATTGATAAAGGGTGATTGATATATACAACAAATAGAGTATCAAATACCTTTTCCCGTATTTTGTAGAATAAACACATTTGAATACACAGAACGAAAATGAACACGCGTGTATACATTTTAATTAAATTTACAATAATAATTAATTGACTTGTTAAATTTATTACTATAATTTGACCTTTAACGAGCAAGACGTCATACTATGTTCAATATGAAGACAATACTGTACTGAATGCCGACCGAGATTGTACAGAGTGCGTATTGACATTAACCCAATTATATAAGAAAATAGTTATATTTATTGGCGTTCGTCTAATACCGGTCACTCACATTCGCACGAATACGCAAACCCGCAAGTGTAGGACGACAGTTGCAAATGATTATGCAAAGTTTTCGCTGCATTCGTGGTTTTCCAAGCTGTGTCGGTTTTTTAACAAATATCAAAGCGCGCGAACCGCGATCCTCCGCGTAGTCTCCCACACATTCGTGTGACCAGTTGCGCCCAGGATTGCGAAGGCAACGGACGTTTCGCTATTTTCTTAGATCGTGACGTCTACTGTGTAGCGTATCTTCATCAAAAGAAATCCCATAAAAACAGCACGGCTGTTAATGATGTCTGGGAAAGAATTCAATACTCTTTTTCTCTTCAATCTTCTATTGACGAATTAAAAAGGAGGAGAAATTCGTGAGACATTCGTAAACAAGTGTAGGGGGAAGCGCAAACGGGTTCGCAAATTGAGTACCGAACCCATTTGCACAGCCATTTGCGCGCAAACATTCGTACAATGTACGAATATTTGCGCGCATGTGAGTGGCCGGCATTATTATCGAAATTCGACCGTAATTAGTGTAATCTCAAGAATCAGATTAATTGTATGTATTACATTTCCTTTTTTGTCTTTTTATCATTATTTGACATTGAAGACTTCTCAATGAACACTAAACGAAAAAATTAAATATATTAACCAAATAGAGAGGAGTAAAGGGTAGAAGGTACTTAGCTGTTTTTAGGTTAACAATGTATGTATTTAAATTGTTTTGTGTGAATATATGAACTACCCTTCCACGCGCGCATATGAAAAAAATAAAAAAATATTAAGCTAGACTAATATTTAAGCTTAGGTAACAAAACTGTATAGTAAAGTGAACTAAATGAATGCCTGTTATTCCTAAAAAATACTTATAATTGTTTACAAGAAGAATATTTAGCCAAATATTATGCTCGCCCATCGTCAAACGAAAAGCAGGTATTTTCCAGCACATAACTATAGTATTGTAATCTGCTTATTGTCGTTGTTAGCCTGGAATCTGGACTATGCATTGTTATTGCATCATGCAATTTTACTCCTTATAATTTGATTTTTAAAATTAATTTATAATTAGTGACGTTTATCTTAAATATAAAGTGTGATTATATATCTATGCAATTTATTATGTACTTTGACTTATTCAATTATAAATGTGTTGTTGGTGTAATCTATAAAATTAGTAGGTAAATATTATCCATAATTTAGAAATATCAATTGCTTTTCACGCTTAAATTCATACGTTTTATTTCGTGTCTTATCAATATTAGCAGCATCTTTGTCAAAATGGAGTGTTTAAAAGAAAATGAGATGTACTGTAGACCAAGGGCAGACCCGGGGGTGGGGGTGGTTCATGGGGTCATGACTATCCCCCTGGGCTGGTTCCAGGACCTAAGTGGACCACATATTGAAGAACATGATAGTGCTTCTCTGGATTTCTTCAAGAGAAGATGACAATATGTACGTGTATATCTATGTACAAGTTATTATGTGTTAAGTTTTTCAAGTGTACAATGAAGAATAAATATTTTTAAGTACAGTACTTACGTACATTAATAAAATACCTACTTTTTACTTGTATCTATTGTTATCAAAATTAAATTATAAGTTCTTGACTTGACCATGACTATGTGACCCCCTCCTGGCACCAAAGCTGGATCCGCCCTTGCTCTAGACAACGAATATATTCCAATAAAGAAAATTGTATATTCATAAATATATCGGCCTGACACACGATACTGACCTTTGTATTTATTATCAATTAAATATTTGTTACGACTATCGGACGTTACAATAAAGCTTATTAATTGAGCTAGTTTTGTCGACCTGTGTTAAATATTAGTTAATTACCGCCGAAATTTAATGATGCATTGCGGGATGTTTGCGTTTTATGATTAGTAGGGTAGGCGTTACTGAGACGCGGTAACAACGTAGATCGTAAANAGGGTAGGCGTTACTGAGACGCGGTAACAACGTAGATCGTAAAAAAAGTTATTTAAAAATATAATTGAAAGTGAATATAGTGATAAAAAACCGTACAAGTGACAAATAAACTAGTGAATGTGACTATATAATGAAGGCAGGGTCCTAAGTTAACGAATAATCCATAAAATACCTAAGAAAAAACTGAAGTGTTAACAAACAACAACCTACGAACTTTTCAAGTCTTTTCTCGCGAAACCAGGAACTAATAATTGTACCAAGGTCTATGAAAGTGCCGGAGTGCAAGTGAATGAAAATCGCGAAAGCTATCCCTTTTTTGGAAAACATAACTTCTCTCCTGAATGAGTCTGCAATTTTACCTATCTGTCATATCAAAATAATCTGGGAAACAGCGCCATCTATTAGAAAAAAAGCACACTACGTATGAAAAAAACTATCCAGCTCCACTAGAGGGCGCAACTAGTACCAAAACAAAACAGACAGCATGGAAGAAATCATGAAAGCCTTACAAAATATTCAAAAAGAACTGAACGCTCAAAAAATAGAAATTCAGAAAAGTGGTGAAAAGGTGACAGAGCAAGTAACACTCAACATAATTAACAAATTAGAAGAGAAATTTTCCATTTTGGAAGAAAAACATCAAACTTTGAAAGAAAATGTTGAACAACAAGAAAAAAGGATTCAATTTATGGAAAAACAAGCAAGACAAAGAAACATAATTTTCTTCGGTATCGAAGAGAGTGAGACATCCTATCATAACTTGGAGAACAATATATTGCAATTCATAAGTGAAAGACTGTTATTAAAATTGGATTGTAGAGATATTCAAGAAATAAAGAGAGTGGGGAAAAAGGGTGATAAGCCGCGACCAATAATTGTAACCTTTTCTACCCTTGGTTCAAAGGTCAGCATTCTCAAGCATAAAAGATTATTAAAAGACACCCAATACTACTTAAACAAAGACTACCCTAAATACATACTAGAAAAAAGGAAAGAACTACAGGAGGAAGCAAATAGAGAGCGCGAGAAAGGAAATAAAGTCACGATAAAATACGATAAGCTTGTTATATTAAAATCAAATAACAAAAGAATACTGATGACTTCACCAGAGTCAGATCCCAATTCTCAAGCACTAGTTGGTAATAGTACAACAAGACCCATTAAGAAAAAAATAAAACAATCAAACCCATATATACCTAGATCAAATAGTGTCTCAGAAGGAGTTCTTAAACCAAGCATTCTAAGCTATTTAGTAAACAATAACGTTAATACACCACATAACCAAACCAACGATAAAACCATTAACTTACATTCATAACAATCAACTTCCCCCTCCCTCAACGATGCAACATTCAATCAATTTCAACTAAGCAACGAAAACCATCTTCCAATCCGGCTGGTCACCGTGGAAGATCAAGACCAAAACCCTCTAAAGAAGACATCTCAAACTCCTTCAATAATAAGAAATGGAACACTAACACAAGAAATACTTAACTCAACTAAAAAGAAGAAAGATCATCTCTACATATTAACTTACAACGTCAGAACTTTATCTACTTACGAACGCTTAATCGAACTTAGCGAAGCTCTCACTAAAATCAAATACGACATAATTGGAATGTGTGAAATAAGGAGGACGGGCACCAGGATAGAAGAATATAATAATTTCATACTATGCCACACAGGACACACACCTGGTAAACGTGGAGTCGGTTTCATAATAAATAAAACCCGTAAGAACTGGATTGAAAGTTTCATGGGAATAAACGATAGAGTAGCATTATTAAACTTAAACATACAAGGATTGTCCATGTCAATTATACAGATATACGCTCCAACTGAAACGGCATGTGAAGAAGAGATTAACAACTTCTACACAAATGTCAATAGAGCCGTAGACCAAGCCTACAAGAACTATATAATAATGGGTGACTTTAACGCGAAAATAGGTCAACCAAGAAAAGATGAACATCTAATAATGAAACCAAACGGATATGGTGAAAGAAACCAGAGAGGTCAGAGGCTAATTGATTTCGCCCTCGAACACAAACTTGCCATCTTAAATACTTTCTTTCATAAAAAACCAAACCAAAGATGGACCTGGCGATCACCGAACGATAAATACAAAAATGAAATAGATTACGTATTGTCAAATCAACCAAACATCTTCCAAAACATAGAAGTTTTAAATCTGAACTACCCGTCAGACCACAGGGCAATCAGAGCAACAATGTCTATCACAAAGCAGACGAAAAAACGCACAGCCTATAAAAGCAATCGATATTCATCACTAAAAACTGAACAAGAAATATTATCTTTTAAACAAAACATTTCATCACAATTACAGGATTTATATAAAGCCCAAGAAAAAACATCAGTACAGGCTTTATATAACACACTAACCAAGGCCATAACCCAGAGCTTACAGGACGCCCGAATTTCCAACGAAATATCAAAAGGTAACCATAAAGTTTTAAAGGAGTATACACTGGAACTTATCAAGAGAAGACAAGAGTTACAACATACTAAGATAAAAACTCGAGACACAAAAAATGAACTATCAGCTCTATACAAACTAATAAGTAAACACATTAAACAGGACTACAAATGCTACAGATTGAAGACTATTGAAAAACATCTGGAAAAAGCAGGAAGCTCAAAAAAGGCCCTTAAAGAACTAAGAATAAATAAATCTTGGATAGACAGCTTAAACTGTAAGGACAAAACCGTAAATAATCGAAAAGAAATCATAGATGTAGCAACACATTTCTATAAAACACTATATAAAGCACAAGGAAACGAGTGTACCAGCCATAGCTATGCAAATGATATTAACTCTACAAACAAAAGCGGAGACATAGCACCAATAACTGAAAAAGAAGTAACACAAGAAATAAAAAAGCTAAAGCTAGAGAAGAGCCCAGGACCAGATGGCATTACAAATGAAGCTATAAAGGTTGCTTGGCCGCTACTGACTCTCCCATTATTACACTTATTTAACCTTATATTAAAAACTGCTGAAATACCATCGCAGTGGGCAGAATCGGAAATAATTTTAATTTACAAAAAAGGTGACTCAAAAGATATCACAAATTACAGGCCTATAAGCTTACTCTCATGTATCTACAAACTGTTTTCCTCCATAATTAACAAAAGAATAAGTGTCACAATAGAAGCAAACCAACCAATAGAACAAGCAGGTTTTCGCAAGAGTTTTTCAACAATCGACCACATACATACTCTAGAACAAATAATGGAAAAATATCAAGAGAAGCAAAGAACGTTATACATTGCATATATTGATTATAAAAAAGCTTTTGATACCGTGTCACATTCAAGTATCTGGACCGCCCTGCAAGCTCAAAAAGTTGAACAAAAGTATATAGATATAATAAGTAACATTTACAAAAGTAGTACAGCAAAAATAAAACTAGAATCCACTGGTCCTACGTTCTCCATCGGAAGAGGCGTGAAACAAGGCGACCCGCTATCTCCAAAGTTATTTATATCTCTCCTAGAGTCAATAATAAAAAGACTCAACTGGGAAAAGACAGGATTGAACATCAATGGCAAGTATTTATCTCACCTATGCTTCGCAGATGACTTAGTTTTGCTGTCAGAATCTAGCACACAATTACAAAACATGATCGATTCACTAAACACAGCTAGTAAGCAGGTAGGACTGGAAATGAATCTTTCTAAAACAATGGTTATGACAAATAGTTTACAGAGAAGAATATCAGTGGACAACGAAACTCTGAAATATACAGAGAATTACATCTACCTTGGAAAACAAATTGGCTTGAACAGAAAACAAAATGACCTAGAAATAGAACGAAGAGTACAAAATACTTGGAACAAGTATTGGTCCTTAAAAGAGATATTCAAAAGTAACATGCCAACAAATATCAAAACAAAAGTCATGATGCAATGCCTCCTACCTTGTCTAACCTATGCATGTCAAACTTGGAAATTTACATGTAAATTAAAAAGCAAAATTACTAGCTGCCAACGCGGAATAGAACGAAGTATGCTCAATATAAAAAAGATGCAAAAAATTCGTCACACAAAAATTAGAGAAGCCACCAAAGCGACGGATGCTCTAATCTACGCTAAGAAACTAAAATGGAAGTGGGCTGGGCACGTGGCGAGGCTAAAGGATGAGAGATGGACCAACAGGGTAACAACGTGGAAGGGTCCAATAGGCAAACGCCGGAAAGGCAGACCCCACATGAGATGGTCAGACGAGCTGATAAAAATAGCTGGTACCCGCTGGCCACAAATAGCCCAAGATAAAGATACATGGTATTCTTTAGAGGAGGCCTTCACCTTCATTTGAGGAGGGTTCATGTAAACAAACTTTTATATTTTAGACACTATAAACTTTTTTTAAAAAGCACTATCTATATTTATATTTTTTTAAACGAGGGGATTGAGGGAAGAGGGATGAGAGGAGGAAGGAGAAAAGGGCAAACAAGTGTAAACAGCATCACTATTATTTTTTCTTCTTTCCTTTTTTTTCTTTTTTCTTTTCTTCTTTATAATTTCTTCTTCATACTTGAAACGTGTATGTAACCTATTATTTGCATGAAATAAAAGGCTTATTATTATTATTATTATTATTATTATTATTAAGATTAAGTAGTAACGCTCATCTCTTGAACTAATGGCCTAACATTAGATCGAATTAAATTAAAATTTGTAACTACATGGACTATCGAGACGTGGTGCTGGAGACGAATACTTGGTATTTCATGGACCGAACTTCGCACCGATATCTCCATTCTTCAAGAACTCGGCATTAAGTAGCATCATTCGGCGCTCGTGTATGAGTGCATACTATCGTTTTATGAACATGTCTCCCGGCGAGGAAATGACTCCATAGAGCGCCTGGTCGTTCAGAGCAAAATAAAAGGCACCAGACCGCGTGTAAGGTTGCCCATGCGATGGACCGACCAAGTCAAGCCGGGAGTTGGCGGTTGTTTGTATGAGTGTACCAGACTCAGCACAAACCGGGAGGAGTGGCGATTATTCGTGAGGCTCATAGCATCTGTCCACAGCAATGATACTGAATGTCGACCATGACCACTCCGACAAGAGCAATACGACAAAGAAAAAAATTACAATATATTATTCATAAGATTATTATTCATAGTAAAGCTTGGAATGTAAGTGTTAATATTTAAATAAATATCTTTCAGGATTCAACTTCCCTAAATTACCAGGAAAATGGCCATTTACTTTGAGCGAACAGCAGCTCGACTCGAGGAGGAGGGGGCTAGAACAGTATTTGGAAAAGGTAAAATCATTAAATAAATAGATACATAACAAGTGAACGACGACGGGCACGCAGACAGGACTCCAATAATTATTATTTGAAAACTAAAAGTTAATTTCACGAAGTCTTGAATTCTTATTAACTTAATCAGTGTAACAAGTACTCGGTTTATATTCGTTTATCCCCCATTTTACTACAGTACAGCTTGTAACTTATTGTCAGTTTGATTAAAATGCAACCCTTACCAGTCGTACTACGTACGACCCTGGTGAACAAACGCTCCACCGCTGCTTCATGTACTCGACAACTCAAAGTATTCCTAAACTTGAAGACCATTAATGTTTTTCTTCCATTGGTTGTCCGAAGACAATGAAAAGTAAGGACTGATTTACTTTGATTCGGCTCGAAGGACCAAAATGCACGATGATGAACAAACACTTGCAGGTGTGCGCAGTGCGCGTGATCGCGGAGTGCGAGAGCGTGCAGGAGTTCCTGACGGACTGCGACGACAGCTCGAACCCGGCGCCCGTGGAGCTGAAGGTGCTGCTGCCGGACCGCGACGTGGCCACCGTGTCCGTGCTGCGCTCCACGCGCGCCGACCTCGTGTACCGCGCCGTCGCCGACAAGATCCGCCTCGCCGACACGGTGCAGCAGTACTTCTACCTCTTCGAGATCGTCGAGTACAACTTCGGTAACGTACATAACACAGCCTTGTTGTGCCGATGACTACATAAGATACGAAATTCATTCGGGTGTTTGTCCGTGCGCCTGTACAACAAAATTCCACAAGATGTTCAGAATCTACATATGCATGGGTTTAAGAACATCTGTGCAATTAAGCTTACTATAAAGTCAATGATTATCTAGAAGATTTCACAAAGTGGGAATGAGTTGCTCGCTCTGGTCATTTCAATATTGCAATAATTGTTATGTTATAATACTCACTGTAAAAATGAATATTTAAAAAAAAAACTAATATAAAAAAAAGAAATAAAAAAGAAAAAAGACATGCCTGCTGAGTTTCTTGACGGAGGCTAGTTTTTGTGAATTGGCGGTAGTTCTTTTTGACGTTGAACAAGTGTGTATTTTCATTTATGTTGAATAAAAAATTTTTGATTTGATTTGGTGAGCTCATGCGTCGCCATGGCGTCCTCTGCAACGCCTCGCACGATCAGCCTACACTGACCCCCGTGTGTCCGCAGAGCGCAAGCTGCAGCCCAACGAGTGTCCGCACTCGCTGTACATACAGAACTACTCGACGGCGTCCAGCAGCTGCCTGTGCATCCGCAAGTGGCTGTTCAACCCGCGCGTCGAGGTGGCGCTGGTGGCGGAAGACCCGCTCGCCGCCAACTTTATATTTTGGCAGGTGAGGCAGCGCGCCAGACTCCATTACAGAATACCTTCATTCACATAATTACATTTTCTTTTAGTTCGAATAACATTAAGTGACAGTGAGTCGGTAAATAATGTCAAGATAATTCAACCATTTTCGATGGACCGATGGGCTTTTATCCTTTTGGACTCTGCTGCATGCGGTGCTGCAACAGAAATGTCGCCGTACTCCTTGATTCATGATGGGGAAGTTTTAATTTAATTGGCATAATCGTTATCTTCTTATCACCCGGTCGCTTTGTCGTGTTGTGCATCGGCGATATCCTACGACGCAACTAAAGCTATCCCGATCCAGAGAATGGCCTCAACCAAAAAGTCCAGTTTGAAAATACCCTACAATTTCTTCAAACATGTAATTCTATGTATAAAGTTAACAAGAGTTTCTACAAAGTTGATTACTGTGTGGAGGCCGCGATGCGCCTATGTACGCAAACTGCGTCGTCGCCAGCTGTAGAGCATGTGTATCCTCTCCGCAGGCGGTGGAGGACGTGAACCGCGGCACGTGCGCGGCCGGCGCCCGGCTCTACCAGCTCAAGGCCATGCAGGAGCCGCGCCGCGCGCACGACTACCTCGCGCTCGCACGCACGCTGCCCGGATACGGACACGTCGCCATCCCGCACCCCACGCTGCGTCTGGCGCTCGGTACGTGCACGCGCACCCCGCCCCCCCTCCCCCTCCCCCCCGCGCTAACACCCCGCACTGTCCGCAGGCTGGAGCGGCATCAAGCTGTCGCCGCACGAGGAGGAGGCGCCGGGCGAGGAGTGCGCCGAGGTGCCGTGGAGTTGCGTGCTGGGCTGGGCGCGGGATGATGACGCCACCGCCGTGCGCCTCACCTACGCGCGACCCGACCGCCCGCCGCGCACGCTGCTGCTCTGCACGCCATATGTGAGTACCGCGCCCCGCCCCGCCCCGCCCCGTCCCGCCACGCCACGCCACGCTAACCCGCCCCGTCGCTGTTCCAGTACCAGTTCCTGGCCAACTGCATGGACAGAATAGCGGAGGAGGCGAACTGGGCCGACACCGGCGAGTAACGCACCCTCGCGCCCACAACACTCACTTCACTCAACGAATGGAATGCTGGGAGATTATAATAGATTACCTAAATTGTCTTTCCGGTTAACGGTAGACAGACAGTGTGGTCATGTTAATAAACAGTTGACTGTCCGCCCGTCGTCAGACCGTAAAACATAAGGGTGATCGTCATAAAAACAGATCTGATGTATTATGTATTCCATAGTGTTTCTAATTTTGTCCTGTCATCTAGCAACACTGACCGCGTTTTTAGACTAAGGTCAATAATTTAAAAATATAGCGAAGAAAGGTAAATTAATTTCGAGAAAAATGATCGTCTAGCCGAGCAGCCTCGTTAACTATCTCGGTAGAACTCTATATTTGTCGTTACGATTGAATTATTATTTTTTAATTAATGACTAATTATTTATACTTAACATTCTACTTTGTAGTTTTATTGTTGGCAATCGGATATTGTGTGACCTTGAGATTTGTTTCGGAAGTCGACGGGGAAGGGAGAGTGCAGCTGAAGATGTTTTACTCAAAATCATTATGTTTTTATTCAATTTATTGCTGCGCGCCGAGCCTACACCGCGCCAGTACTAAGGGTCGCCGCACACGAGCCGCCACCGGAATATTTCCTGTACATACATTTTATATGAAGCGTGTGGCGGCCACCGGCGCCAACCGTGTGCGGCCAGTCCATATAAAATGTATGAAAGAAAACAACAGGAAATAGGTCGGTGGCTGCGTTTTGTGGTTGTGGCCGGTGGCCCGTGTGTGGCGACCCCTAATACTGTCGAAGCTCAGTGGTAGCCTAGTGCTCAGTTGGCAGCTCAATCCAATTGTTACAATTCAATAAACTAAATTTTGAAATTTTATAAAAAAACCTGCCCCAAAGCTAAAACAATATTATTAGTATACCGACAACAAGGTTGTCGACGGTACGCGCTAATGGGTCTAGAAAAACCAGCAATGTACATCTAAGGCTCAATGTACAGCGCACAACACGGCAGCTCAGAACACCCGCACGGGGCGGACGCGACTTGTACTAAGTTTAGGCGTTATTAAATACTTATTTATATTATTTAATATTTTATGGTCATTCCTTCACGAGTTTTGGCAGCGGCCCGCGGGCCCTATACAATGGTGCAGCTAGAATTAGATACCGTAGATTGGGGAAATCGGGACCCTTTCCAAATCCAACACAAATTTCCAATGGTTTTTCTTAGGGTAATACCAATAAAATTGAGATTAAAATGGTTCTGAAGGCTTAAATTTTTATGTATAATATTATATGCTATTGTACATAGTTCATTACAAGATATACACAAAAACTGAAATAAACTAGCTTGACCCGATTCACCTTAGCTTTGGGGTAAATCAGGTTACGTATGGGGACAATAGAGTTTTTCGATAGGGCTGGCACTGTTTAGTTGTTAGGTAGGCACCTTAGTTTAGGTGTTCACGACGCTCCGGGCGAGAGAGGGGACGGGGGAAGGCAGCGGGAGGGGTATGCGCCCGCTGCCTAAGATTCATATTCGCCGACCAGCCGGGTGACACGCGTCAACATTTGTTAATATAATGTATTTTACAAGTAACTAGCTGACCCGGCAGACTTCGGAGTGCCTCAATCGATAAATAAAAGATCTAACTTTTGTATAAAAAAAACTTAAAAAAAAAACAAAAGGAATATGTCCGACAGAGGACACATCAAAGGAAAAACAAAATTGTTTGTTTTTATATAATTCCGAGCATTTTCATATTTATTCACCTTTTAAACCTTCTCTGGACTTCCACGAATAATTCAAGACCAAAATTAGCCAGATCAGTCCAGCCGTTCTCGAGTATTAGCGAGACTAACGAACAGCTTTTCATTTTTATACATATAGATTAAATAATACGATTACAATTATCATGCGTGGTTTCTTCTTCACCATCGTCATGAACATTAGGTAATAAACTTAATATATTAATGAGTTACAAAACTTTGAAAACTAAATTAAATTATTTAATATTCTTAAACACTAAATAAAAGCCATTTTCAGTTCAACAAACTTAAATCTAACAACACAACAAAAGTATTGTGTCGTCCCAGATTTGTCCCTATTCTAAATCTAGTCTCTATTTCCCCCAATCTACTGTATTATAAGCATTTAAATGAAAGCCTTCGAAATAACAAATTGTAAGAAACTTAACTTAATCAACAAAAAACAAAGTCCACGGTCACACAATAATTGATTGCATTTAATTCGTAAGCATAAGAATATTTAGGCAAATTTATATTAAGCAACTTTGTTGTAGCAATAAGAGTTAGTAGGTGACGGGTTCGCCACTGTCAATGACGATGTCGACGGGCGGTGGGCTGGCAACGTGTGACAGTGTCGACAAACGGACACCATTTTATTTTCGTTGATATTTCAACATGTAATTTTTTTTATTAGCATTGAATCATGTTATGCCATTAATTATGAAATATAAGTTTCGTTTTATTGCCCTTTTAGGCAGACGAGCATACAGCCCACCTGATGGTGAGTGGTTACCGTCGCCCATGGATTTCAGCAATGCCAGGGGCAGAGGCAAGCCGTTGCCTACCGATTGTAAGGGGTCCTCGATAAATTCGTAATGAATCTTATTGTTACAGCAAACATATTATATTGTCAGGGCTCTCTGTGCGATGCGCCGGGTGAGGTTTTAAGGTGCGAGAGTCTGGTCTATTATTTACACTGCCTTATTTATTTTGTCAAACAGAGTCGTTCGATTGCCCACATCGTTAATTATATGACTTCAATGATCTCGCGAGATTACCCCTTTAGTTCGAGCACACTTTAAAAATTCACCTCGTATGCATTAATTAGGAAACTAATGCAAAAAGTACTTAAGCCTCTTAGAGATATGAATGGCGAATTCAGACTGGGAATGATGAACTAAAAACATCTTCAGGTTTGATGTAACCATTCTCATACAAATACGAATATTAGAAAATTTATTAATTAAAGTATATTATTAAAATGTAGTATTATTATATGTATGTTATAGGTGCAGCAGTATTAAGTATCGAAAGTGTTGATAAAGTGCACGCTGCGACGGTCGATTCCTACCCAATGCCGTCTGTACACGCCCTGCCTCCCTACTCCCTGTTCCCCTCTGCCCCCCAACCCCCGACCCCTTTCCCCCTACAGTTATTGTAACACTGTGCACTTTATCCGATAAAAACAAATAACAGCTCATGAATTATTAAACAAAAGTAAATGATAGTAAACATTTAATACTGTACGACCTTATTCTAGTATTATTATGACATTTAGATTATTTTATAAGCCGCCTTTTGTTGTATAATAGAATTTATCGTATTGTTACAAAGCGGGAAGAACATAGTGACGGTACATAGTGCCACCGACCACGCGCTGCGCGATAATACTTGTTTAGTGGAGTTCGCGAACCCGCAATGGACGCGTACAAAACTTGAACGCGGTTCACCGTGTACACAGCATTACATTGCTTCTTTAATAAGCGGTCAGAGGCTGGGAGCTGACCTTGAGCCGAATCTGCGAACCCGTGAGACGCAATAAGGCACGTCGGTAGTTTTAGTGTGCTTAGTGCGAGTTTTTTAACTCAACTTTGTATGGAGTTGGAACGTTTGCCTACGTTTGCCGCTAGGGGCGCTGTTCCAACTGCATACAAATTTAAGTTAACTTTTACGATATCGAGAACGTTAAAAAACTCGCACTAAGCACACTGACCACTTAAGTGCTTTAAGCCTTAAAAACATCATGATATTTTAAAAATATATTCTCGTTATTTTAACTCGTTTTATATTTTAACTGATGACGTGTTATAGAACATGTTTTAATATAATTTCTGATTGCGTTCGCGCACTGCCTTTACTCAGTTCAGTGTTGCCAGCGTCACTAGTGTAGTGGCGCCATCTGTGTGGCCGTAGCGCTCGGGGACGGAAGTGAGGCAAGATAATACAGTAAAAACTCTTTATTACGTTTTCACTATATCCGGATTAAATTCCTAAATTCGTGGTTAAAAATATTTCTTAATTTGCAGATATAATCGGCACATACACTTTGATAAAAAGTAAAGAATTCCAATATGTAGGTATCTTGTATATACAACTGAAGATACTTAGTAAACGCGCTTTTCCATATTCTGGATTTCTGTACTCGCGGCATATTTACGGAACATATACCCCGTGAATAAAGAGCTTTTACATAAAACAAAATACATTGAGCACTAAATGATTAAATAAAGATTTAATCTCTTGTATTGTGTTTATTGACACATTCTCACTCATTTACATTTTTATTCAATATTTTATTGAAATTATATAATTTAAATCAAGCTGTGCTCTGTATTGGAAATGAATTTAAGTATCTTTTCCTGTAATGTTTTATGGACACAATTATTTCAGACTAAACAAGTGTTCTCTGGCAACACTGAAATACGGTAAAGGAATCCGACGAATGGTCACTGTTAATTCGTTACATATAAATGAACACGTGTATAGTGTGCTTATATACATATTTATGTCTTGTATTCAAAGCAATAATGAAATCGGCTTAACGTTATCTTGTTTAAAGTTTATTTATTCGATAAGCGTGTTCTCTATTGAGTTCGCTTTAAAGCTTGCGCGATAAAAAGCTAGATTTATATATGTAGAGACATCCTTTATTAGGCTAAATGAATGTGTTTGTTTTGAAAATTAAATGTCACATTTTGTCGTGCAAAGAGAGGAAATAGGACGACAGCCGCGTTTAAGATTCGTCCGGGACAACCGTTGGCGCCGGCCCGGAGTCGCAATTACATTTACATATCCATTAATTGTTAATCATAATGAGTACTGTAATGGAACATCGTCAGACGTGAATACGTGTATGGTACAAAATATATATCTCACTTTGAACTAAACGAGAATGTTGTTTATTTGTTTACCATTTACAGGTTTGAACTAGACAAAATGCACAAGAAAAAGGAAATGCGGTAACTTCAAGCCAAAGTTACCAAATAATGTAGTCTTCCAGTCAAATCGTATTTTTTTTTATGCTTAGGTATCCTTCAAACCGTATCGCATTACTGCTTCACGGCAGAAATAGGCAGGGTGGTGGTACCTACCCGTGCGGACTCACAAGAGGTCCTACCACTATAGTAGAATTATTTTGTCCGTGCAGTTTGGGTCATAAAACAGCCCGGCTAGGGCGGTGAGCATGTTCGTCGGGCGCAACGCCATTATCGATAAAAACAAATGAGCCATCGAAGGCAGGGGTGGTATAAGAAGGGTGGTGAGACATTGCTATGTTATGAGTCATTTGTACTTTCCTGCAAATTATAGTACATTATGTCGAAGAGAAATGTGTTTTTATGCATTCGTTCTCTGAATTTATTTAGTGACATTAGTGTATAAAGACGGCAGGATTTATTCAAAATAATATTTGCACGTGTTGTTATCAACAATGTGTTAAATTTTTTCACTGAAACAAGAATAAATCTCGAAAAGTTACAAATTGTTAATTTCTGCCGTTCTCGTTAACTTGCTGCGGCGATATGTGGTGTACCTAAGTGTTCGATTAGTGATTTTTTCTTTCATTTTTATCACTAACCCACAAAATGACAAAACTAAATACACTATCGATAACGCTTATCGACAACAATAATGCGCATCACTATGCCCGTCCATAAGGCTCATGAGTGGATGAGAGAGCGAAATACTCGCTTCACCGCTCCGATTTTTTATGACCCAAACTGCACGGACAAAATAATTCTACTATAGTAATTGAATGTGTTATATTAAGATTTTCACATTTCAACTCAACTAGTGAATGTTTATGTAATTATTAATTGTTATTTGAACGATCTTATGAGACCGCGACGGGGCAACTCAAAGCCGTTTCTCGAAATATGTCGGATTCCCCAGATTCACTGTCGGTGCTTTTAGGCGTCTCAAGCACTGGTCACCGTCTTCTAATCCATAGACAGTCCACTGAGTTTTTCGCCGGATCTTCTCAGTGGGTCGCGTTTCCGATCCAGCGGTAGATTCTACGAAGCTCTTGGTAGGGCTAGTGTTAACAAATCCTCTTAGGTTACCAGCGAATAGGTAGGGAAGAAAAAATTTGAACGATGCTCCGCGCCCAGTCGCGACGGTCTGTTAGCCAGGCTCGTAACGACCTGGTCACGTTATCGCACGTCGCTCGGACATTAGCGCCGCGCTCATGAGGAATTATTGAGCGCATCATGTCGGTAAGCGGTGGGTCACGACTTCTGTATGTGCTAAACGACTTGTTAGCTCAGTACTCGCGCCCGCCGTCAAGGTTGTCTTGAGAAATTTCAGTACAAAAAAAGGTGTTTGGGGTCAATCTTTATACGTAAGCCTTTCGGATAGAAGTTGTCCCGCTATTTTTGTTTAATTGTGTAGACGAGCTCACAGCCCACCTGGTGTTAAGTGGTTACTGGAGCCCATAGTCATCTACGACGTAAATGCGCCACCCACCTTGAGATATAAGTTATAAGGTCTCAGTATAGCTACAACGGCTGCCCCACCCTTCAAATCGAAACGCATTATGGAAGATATAGGCAGGGTGGTGGTACCTATCCGCACGCATAAGACTACCACCAGTAAACTATACACTAATTTAGGTAGTCTTGGTGAATAAAATAACACAATATGCTTGGAAAGCGTTTTCAAATAATTTTTTACTGGTGGTAGGTCGTCTTGCGAGACCGTACCACTTCCCTGCCTATTTCTGCCGTGGAGCAGTAATGCATTTCGGTTTGAAGGTTAGGGCAGGCGTTGTACCGTTACAACTGAGGCCTTAGAACTCGTATCTCAAGGTAGGTGACATTTAGGTAGTAAATGTCTATGGCCTCTAGTAACGACTTAACACCAGGTGGACCGTAAGCTCGCCCACCCAGATAAGCAATAAAAAAAATTTTGTAACTGTTATTCGAAATATCTGATTAAGAAATGAAAACAATGACGATACCATTTGGAAAATTGTTAAACTGTCTATAGGTACGTCGGGAAATTGTAAACACTGGGGATGTAGGTCGCGTGATGTGGCGGGCGATGCAGCTCAGGAGATCCCCGGTAACTCACCACTAATGTCGTATACTCAACGACACCCACATATTGCACACAGACCCCGAATAACGAACAATAAAATTTCACAATAAATGAAATTAAAAAAACTCGACTGCATTAACAATACTTAAAAAAGTGAAGAACAAGCTATTTTTACTGGTGGTAGGACCTCTTGTGAGTCCGCGCGGGTGGGTACCACTACCCTGCCTATTTCTGCCGTGAAGCAGTAATGCGTTTCGGTTTGAAGGGTGGGGCAGCCGTTGTAACTATACTTGAGATCTAAGAACTTATATCTCAAGGTGGCCCATTTACGTTGTGGATGTCTATGGGCTCCAGTAACCACTTAACACCAGGTGGGCTGCGAGCTCGTCCAACCATCTAAGCAATAAAAAAAAAATTTCAAGTAATCGTTAAATTGATTGTCTTTAAATGAAAATTTTAAGACTACATCCAAATATGTTTTATTTATTTACTCATCTTGGCCTGATGTGCCTTTATTTAGATAACAACTTATTTCACGCGTTTTGGTTAATTGATAAAAAATAAAATAAGTTTTTGATAAGGCATACAATGGTTTCATTTTTTTACCGAAGAAAGTAAGAGACTTAGACGATTTTCATTTTAAAAAATAAATAAAAGATAATCTTATTAGTGAAAATTATTATCACATAAATGATTTTCTTAGGGACGACATTGAAAATAAATGGATTTTTTAATTATTAGTTGAATTATGGATGAATGAATGGTAAATTACATAATATTATAACTATGCACTGCACTAAAAAAGGTCCTACCACCAGTAATTACGCAAACTAAAATTTGCGGGTTTGATTTATATTGCACGATGTTATTCCTTCACCGTGGAAGTCAATCGTGAACATTTGTTGAGTACGTATTTCATCAGAAAAATATCTACTGCTGTTTCACCATGTCCCTGTCTTTTTCTCTAATTCATAATTTGCATACTTAGTAATGTAGATTGCAAGTCCGCACCACCACCCTGCCTTGATCATTGAGAACTCAAAGAGCTTAAAGACACGGTGATTTTACATAAAACCTTACAAAGACCATATCTCATCTATAATCCGGTTGCAAGTACTTACCTTTGTCGTGTCTGCGTTTCTTATCAGTGGCATTAGGGCTTCCGTTCCAGACAACTGGGAAATTACAGAGTCGGGTTACGGCAGACGTATTACGTTAATGTGACCGTTATGGTTTCCATTATTTTATGATTTTATTTTATAATACTGCTACGTGCTGGGGTTCGGGATAAATAAAAATTGTACCGAAGTGCAAATTAAAACTGTATTAACCCTTAAAACACTTAACGAACACTTTAAAATTCTCAATTCACTTCTTCCGCTTCGCTTCAGGTGATCCGTTCGCTGTTTCGCTTCGAGTAGGGCTCTTGCTAGGGCCAGTGTTAGCAACGTCCTCAGGTTAGAGCCCCGTGAGCTCATGTACTCGCTCGGCTACGCTGGCATAGCCTTTAAAGGCTTTAGGGGCTATGCCAGCTTAGGTAGGATTTTTTTTTTATCACAACAACAAATAGGGTGTTCCAGGGTAATTCAGGGTAACTCAGTGATACAGGATTCAGTGATATTTACTCAATACCAGAGAGCTATTAGTTCTCTGAATTAGAGTTAAATATTTTTTGTCATTTCGTAACACCAAAGAGTAGTAGGTATTGAGTAAATATGTTTGTAGCGCCAAGTGCACAAGATGTAATTTATTTGTCGTCATTGTTAATATAATAAACGCGGTGATTTGCATTTTTTGGATGGTAAGTGAATAAAAAAGTGAACGAAATTCTCTTATTATTTAGGCTGTGTACTGATTATAAATATGATTCAACTAAACACACTTAATGCTTTTATATTAAATAAGGGATAAATTTGGGACAAGTAGCGAAATGAGTTAAAATTCTATACCAAATTTTAGTGAATATTTCGATAGGGATTTATCACAGTTTTACGCGGGACAAGAAAAATAATAATATTCAAAAAACTTTCAAGCCCCTAGTCGCATTTGGTTTATTGTGAATGCGACGAACCAGCAAGGACAAGAATTTATATCTTAGATTAAATAGTTCACTACGGCACGGTACACTCCAATATTGTACCGAAACTCATACAAACGATGCTTGGAAATGAAGATTAGAAGCCTTTGCAACCAATTATCCTTAAGACTTGAAGTCTCCACCCAGCTCCTTGAACGAGTAAGACAAGATGAGGCCTTCAGGGACACGATACCTTCGCTATTTCTCACTCTGTCTTGAGTAGGCTATTCTAATGTTTAAGTATGTCTGTCACGTTTCGTCAGTGTGTACTCACCTTAACAGCACATAAGCAAGTTAATGTAAAGATAGTGTAGTTACAGACGCGACCTCCCAGCGGTTACCCATCTTATAAGTAACATCAGTAGTTTTGTGTTCAGTGATTGTGTATTTTATTAATTCGGTGAATAATTTTTTGTCCCTTTTTTTTTAAAGTGAGTACTTCTTTTTTACTTTTGTAATTTTGTAAATAAGTTGGAGCAAAATAATAATAAATTAGAACACAGTAAGCGTGACATTTAACTAAAAAAATTAGTATAATTAATTTTACAAAAATGAATTTACGATATTATTATGATAAATCAACAAAATTGAACACGGCCAAAAACTCCTTTCTAGGGTTGTTCATATCATATTGATACAAAAGACGTGTTATATATTCCTTTCTGTACTGTGTATTTTGATAAATAGATCAAATATGTGATTTAAATTAAAATTTAATCTTATTTCGCAAATGTCTTCTGAGTTTTCATTACACTTACACAAATAAAATATAATCACGTTGAATTTTCTGTGATTTAAAAAGATTTATGGAGTTATATTTATTATTGTTTTCAATTAAGAGTTAATTCCGAAAATTATATACACTTAATAAATTATATTTATTAATTATAGGATTATTTTTGTTTGTTGTGATTCTACCATCATTTTTTCTGTCGTATTTAAGCTTTCAGTATTGAATATACTCATATTATAATTGATACTTCTATATCGCTACTTAACACCAGACGGACCGTGAGCTCATCTGTGCTAATAAAGCCAGAGGGTATTAACAAATCTTAGATATTTTGTCATTTTACAAATACTGTTAATTTGTGGTCACATTCTTTTTTTGTAAAAAGTATTAAAAGTATTACTAACGTTAATCTAGAATTTTTAATATAGAATATACTGGTGGTAGGACCTCTTGAGAGTCCGCGCGGGTAGGTACCACCACCCTGCCTATTTCTGCCGTGAAGCAGTAATGCGTTTCGGTTTGAAGGGTGGGGCAGCCGTTGTAACTATACTCGAGACCTTAGAACTTATATCTCAAGGTGGGTGGCGCATTTACGTTGTAGATGTCTACGGGCTCCAGTAACCACTTAACACCAGGTGGGCTGTGAGCTCGTCCACCCATCTAATCAAAAAAAAATTATAATAATTTAGATGTACCTTAATAAAAATCACCTGAAAAAGTTATAAATAAAACATGCAAGACCTTGATACCTACGTTGTAGTAACTCCTTATCTTAATACTGTTAATCAGTACACTTGAAGATTCACTGATAACCTCTTTATCAGATCGTAACTGCCTTAATTTAAGTCGTAAATTAATGATCAGCTATTCGATTATTGGTAGTGGGTTGTGTGATCTGAGATTCTGTAACACGCAACAGTCCTTATAGCACCGGAAAACACCTGAAAGCACCTTATCAAATATGATCACCCAGCGTGGGTAGGGCTCACACAAGCTGGACCGACACTGCCCAAGGTCTGAAGAATCTGCTGCTTCCGGCAAGCGCAGAACCAATCATTTTGGAGAACCTTAGCTTATCTTCTGTACAGCACCAGTTAAATATATATCGGGGTTTGCCGAGCGCTATGACATGTCCTTCTTTAAACGAGGCTTGTGGAAAGTATTAAGCGGTAGGCAGCGGCTTGACTCTGCCCCTGGCATTGCTCAAGTCCATGGGCGACGGTAACCACTCACCATCAGGTGGGCCGTATGCTCGTCTGCCTACAAGGGCAATAAAAAAAAAGGCTGATAGCGATAACCCAACTATTTGCACCAGTTACACCCCATTCATCATAATTCCGAGTATTTCAAATTTAATCACCGCGCACATTACTGATCACTACAATATCAACCGTCATTCAACACAGGCTGCGAATAGTCTCTCGCAATAGATCGACTCAGTGTTGCAGTAGCTAGTCCCTAGACTGTTGCGTCGCGGCTCGTGGATTCGATTCCCACACCGTGTGATTCAAACATATATAAGCATATACATCAGTCTCTGCTGCCCATAACACAGGGAATCCTAATTTTCATGGTGAAGGAATAACATCGTGTAATAAAATCAAACCCGCAATTATTTGCGTAATTACTGAGGATAGGACCTATTGTGAGTCCGCAGGGGTAGGTACCACCACCCCGCCTATTTCTACCGTCAAGCAGTAATGCGTTTCAGTTTGAAGAGTGTTGCAGCCGTTGTAACTATTCTGAGACCTTATAACTCATATCTCATGGTGGATGGCGGCATTTACATCGACAATGACATTGACTCTAGTAATCACTTAACACCAGGTGGGCTGTGAGATCTAATCCATCTAAGGCACAAAAAAAAATTTGGGTCCGATGATCGTGCGTGATTTGTTCCCATTTAGTTGTTAATTAATGTCAGTTATCTTACATGCCTCTCTGGTTATCGCCGTGCCCGGGATCTAACCTGCGCTGTTTAGACCGAGAGGCGCGCATTGATACCGCTGCCCCACGAGCGGATTCATCTCAATGTAAACACTCCATACGTTTCGCATTAAGAGGATACATCACGACCGCTGTTGCATCGCATTTGCATATTAATGTATTTGTTTTATGCATAACAATGCACCTTATTCATGACGAGTAATTACTGTGGCATAATTGCATACGTAAATAAATGTATTTGATTTTTTCAAATTTGTTTAATAATTGTAATTATATTGCTGAAACTAGAGGCTCGAACCGTCTACCGTGCGTTCTTGATTCTATAGTAAAAACCTTCTCTGGAGTCCCAGAAAGTAAGAGAGACAGATTGAAGTCGTCGTGGCCTAAAGAATAAGACGTCCGGTGAATTCGTATCGAGCGATGCACCGGCGTTCGAATCCCGCAGGCGGGTACCAATTTTTCTAATGTAATACGTACTTAACAAATGTTCACGATTGATTTCCACGGTGAAAGAATAAATAACATCTTGTAATAAAAATCAAACCCGCAAAATTATAATTTGCGTAATTACTGGTGGTAGGACCTCATGTGAGTCCGCACGGGTAGGTGCGGATTGCCTATTTCCGCCGTGAAGCAGTAATGCGTTTCGGTTTGAAGGGTGGGGCAGCCGTTGTTACTATATTGAGTTCTAGAACTTGTATCTCAAGGTGGGCTATGGGTGTCTATGGGCTCCAGTAACCACTTAACAGCAGGTGGGCTGTGAGCTCATCCATCCATCTATAAAAAAAATGCTTTCAAACCATCGATTGAGTTTTATAGTAGACATTTTCATTTCCGATGTACATGGACGACTATGTCCTCGAACGAAAAAGTATACCTTCCCCGGAACACCCTCGATCTCCTCCCACGACCACACCAGGTTTCATACCGGGCCACGAATGCTGGCTTTAGTTTATCGAAGTATTACCATTGAGATGATCCTCAAAACTACCTAAGTACGTAATTTCAGTCGTACAACTCACGCAGGACTAATGACAAAATAGCCTAACGCAAGTAGCGTTTACTAATAAAATACTGCAATTCTTTTATTATGGTTTTTTAAAATTGTTGAAATTAGATACTTAGTTGCTTTCATTGAGAAACGTCTTTTTTATTTCTTCCTACCTTTTCACTGTTAGCCTAAGAGGCTATTTTAGCTACGCGCGGACGGGTAGGTGAGCTCACGGGCTCAACCTGAGAAAATTTGCTAACACTAGCCCTAGCAACTAGATCGGAATCGCGACCAACTGAGAAAATGTGTGAATGCGTGAAAGATGTGAATACGAGACTAATAGTAGTCGTGGCCTAAAGGACAAGAAGTCCGGTGCATTCGTATCTAGAAATGCAACGGTGTTCGAATCCCGCGGGCGGGTACCAAATTTTTCTAATGAAATGCGTATTTAATAAATATGTTCACGATTGACTTCCATGCTGAAGGAATAACATCGTGTAATAAAAATCAAACCCGCAAAATTATAATTTGCGTAATTATTGGTGGAAGGACCTCTTGCGAGTCCGCGCGGGTAGGTACCACCACCCTGCCGTGAAACAGTAATGCGTTTCGCTTTGAAGGATGGGGCAGCCTTTGTAATTATACTGATACCTTAGAACTTATATCTCAAGGTAGGTGGCGCATTTACGTTGTAGACGTCTATGGGCTCCAGTAACCACTTAACATCAGGTGGGCTGTGAGATCGTCCACCCATCTAAGCAAAAAAAAAAAGATCCGGCAAGAAACTCAGTGGGTTGTGTCTATGGGTTAGTTCGCTCGTCAAACTCTTCGTCTCCACGGTCAACTTGCTGTTGAGTGGTTACGGGCACAGACATCAAAACCCAAATGCTGCCACCCACCTTGACACATGAAGCAAAAGTCTCAGTTGAATTGTTGAGCCGCCGTCGCATCCTTTCGTAACGCAGAGTGCTTCGTGGTAGAAATAGACAAGACGGTGGTAACTAACAGTACTCTATACCAATAATTATGCAACTTTATTTATATTTCTTCTTCTTCTGAATCGGACACTCTTATCAGAGTGGTCGTGGTTGCGCTGACGCTGTATGTGCAAAAGCACCCGTTAGGTCGTGCTCGTAGGACCGCTCTCCTGGCTATGCGCTTCGTGGCGGTTCGAGGGGTTTCGACTACATTGAACCATGCTGGACTCAGCTGCCTTCTTTATTAGGTCAGTCCAGTGGGTTGGTGATCGGTCGCGTGATCTTGTGCCTTCCACCTGGCCTTGGACTACCAGTCTCTCCATGAGTCCTCTTTTTTGGAGATATGACCAAACAACTTTAAAACCCGTAGTTGCATAGTTGACGAGAGTCGGTCCTTGACACCGAGTTCCTTAAGGATGCACTGGTGCGGAATGCCATCCACGGGAGCTTTATTAAGCGTCTCTAGCACTACATCTCCAGTGCATCGATTTTATGGCGATTATTTACGTTACGCTAATTGATTACGGATCAAATTTTATGATCTCTGTGGCCTCCAGGCATCATATAACACAAGTTTGACTGCTAAAAAGAGACAAATACACATTTTGTCTCCAGCACTGACTTTTCAAAAACATTCATAAAAAAAGTCAAGTTACGAAAATTTACACTGAAAAGCGAAACGCAATGTCCGAATGTTTGTAAAAACATGTCGCCTGCGTTTCGTGTAGAAGTTACACAAACATTTATGATCACATAAATTATCACTTAAATCAGCAACTAGTC